CATAACAATATTTCTATACTATCAACTGGTCAAATGACTGCTTTCATTGGGAAAGTTCACAGAGAAAAATCCGAAACTCTGCAGTCCCGTTTAGCTTCACAGAGTGTTTTGGTGTCTTTTAGCTCATTGTTTTGGTTTTACGACCACCAACTCTAATGATGTGGTTCACATCTCATTGTTTCGAGCAGCAAACAGCTATTTACAGCATACATAAACCCCAATAAAAGACTGGCAAAGTAGGATACTAACTGGTAAACATAGTGGAGGCTTTAGCAGCTTAAGGGCCATATATTTCCCTCAGGAGTTGGTGTAGACAAAAACAGAAGATGATCGTATATAAAGTATATAAATTCTTACATTGTTCAGTGTCTATTCAATGTGTGAAATGTGTTAAAGCTCGTTTCCAAGTGGCGCTAAATAATTTAACATTGTTTAAAGAAGATTTCTGAGACATGTAGTGGTTATTCCATAAGCCTTACAATACAGGAAGTGAACGAGAGCCTTGGATTAAGGAGGTTTGGGAAAAGTGAAAGGAAGGGTCCTTTTATTTTTAAGGTCCCTATATTCACATGACCCCAGAAGTTACTCAAAATGACTTGTTTTTATTCATTTTAGGACTCAGCACTCTGAATGTATGTGTCAACTAATATTCATCCAACAAGTCAAAGTTCACTTGGTGCTTGAAAACCAAAACGCTGACCCCAAGGTTCAACTTCAGAGTTTCTGGCCTAGTTTATTTTCAGTATTTAAACACTGCTGCCATCTCTAATCTATATAAAGTTTGTATCTCAATAACAAAGAGTAAACCTCACCTCTCAGATCGCCTGTGTCTAATCCTAAATGTCTTGTTTTTCTCGGAAAAGTAGAAACCCTTTAGTGACGTGATGTGCTGTTAGGGTTCATATTGTTACAATAACTTTGCAATATGATGAGCTTCTTGTGGGAACGTACCATCAGGATTTACTTTAAGATTGCGTCGTTGAGTTGACTCTACCATGTAACCATTTCCATATGAAGGTGGGTTTTATAATAATAATTCCACTGAAAACACGGCGACTCTCCCTCGCCAGATGGCACAAGCCACCCACAGAGAGAAGGTGAAAAAAGCCTCGATGTGGTGTGAGAGAGTGAAGAAACTAGACTCCAAATCTGCCTCCTCGTTCATCATCCATGAGACTGCTGTTCGGGTTCTTGTGGAAAAAGATGGCGAGGTTTTTATTGAGGCATTCATTTGTGCTGACACTTCATGCTGAGCGGTTCACAGTTAGGGTTAGGGTTAGGGCTGTCACATTTTCCAGAGACAGCCTGGAGGACAATTTTTTTTTTTTTTAAAGAACAGATTTGGAAGTAAGTGTTCAGATTTTGACTTGTCAGTTTGGTGATTTTGTTGTTGCACTGGTCCAAATCATTCTATATCAAGTCCTGCAATGTAGGCGTATAACGTCTACTTTGTGTGTTTTTGAATCCACGATTATATGATATTGCATTTTCAATAAATTCCCTTCTTATTTTCAATACCATTTTGTGAACACAGATATACAGATACACATTAAACAAAAGTAAATGCAGAAAAAGACAATTAGAGCAGAGTCCCATTCCACAAAAATGATCGATGTTATTTGTTTGCAATCATATGGCTTCATCTATTCACACAGATGTTAAGATAACTCCTAATCCACACATTTTTGGACATAGCATTTATTTGTTGTTGTCTTCCCATATGTCAAGGTGTGCATATACAGTACTGTTTCTACAATTAGATTTGACATGAAAGGTATAAGACGGTCAGCAGCTATTTTAATATCCTCTAGTATTTCTCCTTTAGCTCTGAAATGAGTGTGTCATGGAAGGAAGATATCCATTATTTGATAAATATAGTATATAGAGGTTTCAATCGTGTTAAAGGGCCCATGTCATGCTTTTCCGGTTATAACCCGTCCCCTTGTGTGTTATGAAGGTTTTTATGCATGTAAACGGTATGCAGAGTCACAAACCCTCAAAGTACACCCTGTAGCGAGTAAAACTCTAACACAGAAAACACCTCCCCAAAACGCCTCGTTGACAAAACGTCATTGTCCATTTGATTCTTCCATTTCGTTCCGGGTACGGCATGATGTCATGCCGTACCCGGAACGAAATGGACGAATCCGTGGAGCCGTTACGTTACGTCCGCGGAGCCGTTACGTTAAGCCCCCGCTGATTGGTCCAAATTGACCAATCCACGGACTTCCTCACACACACACATCTGTGTGCAGGGAGCAGGCAGCTCAGCTGATTTCTCCTCCCTGGCTGCAGGCTGATAACAGACAGTTGGGATCGCGGCGAAATTCTCTCTGCAGACCCATTCTCACAGCGTTTATCAACCTTTTTCGTACTCAATATCAAGCCACACTTATTGTTTTTACTTCGGATGTGAGTTTGTGTGTGCTCAGGATGAGTTTGGCTGTGTTTCGCTGTGTATCCTAAACAAGGAAACAACACCTCCACGGAGCTCAGCGCGATTCACAACGTCCCGACCAATCAGAGCACACTGTGCTCACAGGGAGGGTGGGGGCTGGAGCTATTGGAGCTACAACGAGCCGTTAAAGGCAGAGAGTGAAATTCAGTGAATACACGTAGTTTACAGAGATGCTGTGAGAAACCAATGTGAGTTTGGAAAAATGCACAATATAAATCTATTCTAGTATACCTCAACAATGGAATTATGATCAGTGGAAATGGCCATGACATGGGCCCTTTAAGAGAATATTTTGGGCTGCGGTGAAACCAATGATAAGCATCCTTTTCTGATAGTTGAATAAATTGAGAGAACAACGTTTGGAGACCTGTTTTCTGATATGGTATCTCTCTCCACTCCAACATGAATCTGTTTTAAATTCAGACATGTTCCCATCCAACAGATAACCTCTCACTGTGTCAGCGTCTGTTCTTACGAGGACAATAAATGTCCTCCTTGATTCAGTTTTGATTTGTTTTCCACGTCTGACTTATTGTAGCTTTGCGAAATGTTCCACAATGTGTTTTACATTTCATATTCAGTTATGGCTGGACTGTAGTAGTTTGTGTTGCTTTAAATTCAGTGAGGTGAGATCATGACACGCAGCAGTTTTCCTCTTGAATGTTATCGTGTTATGATTAGTGATTTTGATCCAGGCATTATTCGGCCCCATGCTGCACGGCAACATAATTCCACACTGACCGCAGGAGCGTTTGGCAGTTTTATTTCCTTTTTCTCCAGCTTTCTTAGTTTGCTTTCCTTTTCTCTCATCATTTATTTCCTGTGGTGAAGGAGGCACTGCATGTTGGTTTTGGCTCAGGTGGTGTTTTGGCCCTGAACACAGGGAGCTGCCAGACTCTCCTTGAGGTTTTTATGCAACTGCCACCATTTCTCCCTCCTGCCATACATCCCTCTATTCCACTGTTTTACTCTCCCTTCCTCCTCCTCCTCTCAGTCCTTCCCTCAATCCATATTTCCACAGACTTGCGGCCAATTCACAGCCATAAACCCAAGCAGATCACCATCATTTTAATGAGTAGACACACATCGTTTAGATAAATATTGGAACTGCATATTTGAACCTGTTTCAAAACTGCAGAGTCCTTACTCTTGTACCAGCTGTGCTTTCTGTTCTCTCTTCTCTCCAACAGCCAGTTCAAAGAAACAACACTTTTTATCATTAAATAAAATGATATATGCTCTGAATGTTGTGTCAAATGTCCCAGACGTATTGGAAATGGCTTCAAGGAGTTATATTTTTCAAGTTATTTTCTGTCAAAGCTTGAAATTACTCTACTGTGACTACGTTATAATACACTTCCTCTAAATGTCTTCATGTCATTCCTCTTAGGTGTAAGGTTGGCTACCACATGGCTTCATATAAAGCTCAGCAGCCCAACAATGATCTACCCTTTGCAACTCTTAAAAGCCCTTTTTCTTATATACCAATCACCCATTCACACATATTCACACCCTGTTGGCCATCGAGAGCTATTCAGCTTCTTGCCCAAGGACACTTTGACATGTTGTCTGAAGGGCCAAACAACCGCCCCAATTGTTAGACAACCAGGAAAAGCCAAAAAAAAGTAAATTTGGTGCACAGAATCACACATCTGCATGGATGTATTTAACTTTTGATATGTGACATGCTTATGATGGAACCATAGACTGGATGGAACCCAGTACTCAAAGCTGAGGGAAATATACAAGACAGAAGGAGGAATAGGTCACCTTCAATCAGGAAGCTGTGTGTGTGTGTGTGTGTGTGTGTGTGTGTGTGTGTGTGTGTGTGTGTGTGTGTGTGTGTGTGTGTGTGTGTGTGTGTGTGTGTGTGTGTGTGTGTGTGTGTGTGTGTGTGTGTGTGTGTGTGTGTGTGTGTGTGTGTGTGTGTGTGTGTGTGTGTGTGTGTGTGTGTGTGTGTGTGTGTGTGTGTGTGTGTGTGTGTGTGTGTGTGTGTGTGTGTGTGTGTGTGTGTGTGTGTGTGTGTGTGTGTGTGGTGTGTGGGTGTGGTGTGTGTGTGTGTGTGTGTGTGTGTGTGTGGTGTGTGTGTGTGTGTGTTCCAGCTCTTCCACCTGTTTGCACGTCGAGCTGCTTTTACTGCTGGTTTGTGTGAATGTATGGACTGCTGATGTTAACCGTTCTATTTTTACAGCGCCCAGGTTTCCTGTAATTTATTACCACCAATGTGACACAGAAAACTCACACCCTAAGGAGATTTAGAAATAAATTCTGGAAACAATTCAAAGACTCATGTCTCATAAAAACGATGCCTTCTGGAAAGTAACATAACTCCTGCTAATTAGTTATTATATTATTGCAGTTAATGATGTGAGTAGTTGCAGGTGGCTTGGCTTTGTTAACGTACTATTTTACACCTAATGAGCTCTTTTTATTTGACCAAAAACATCACCTCTTAATAATCTGAAACAGGTGTTTAGTGCATAATGATACGAGCTGTTTTCCTCCACACTTCTTCGTTTAAACTGCTTCTCCTCTGTCTCAGGGTCTGGGCTGCGATGAGTACCTGGGATCAGGAAAGGTGATGGACAGGTGCGGTGTGTGTGGAGGAGAAAACACAACCTGCAGGCTCGTCTCTGGAGTCTTCAAACACAGTTTAACTAAGATCGGCTACCACAAGATAGTGGAGATCCCAGAGGGAGCCACCAAGATCAACGTGACAGAGATGGTGAAGAGCAGGAACTACCTAGGTGAGAAAAACACTTATTAATAAAGCAAAATGTAGTATTTAGTGAACTGAGTGACTGATGAATAGACTGGACAAAAGGGCTGACTGGATGCTTTGAAAAATGTAAAAGATTGTTGTTTATTCCATACAGTTAACTTACTAAATGTCGACTAAATTCTTTCCTAAATGAACGCGAAAACCAAGCGATTGTTACACGCTGCCAACAAATCAAGGTCTAAAGACTTTTCACTTCAATAGGCCACATCTCTAGGCTGCAGCAACTCTCCAGAGGTGTTTGTTCATACATCATTCATAGCCTGAATTATATAACATGTTATACCTAAAATCACGTCGAAAATAGATATTTTCCGGCTGTTGACGGTATTTTCTGATTTATGGAGTGATACAAAGAGATATCCAAAATCCCTTCTGTAGTAACTTTAGATTCTAATATGACTACAAAAGTAAACAAGAATTTTGAACCTGACTTCATCCAATGTTCAGGTTTGTGTTCCTGAAATGTATTAAAATATGCGCATATTTAATTAGATAATAACTCATTTGCATATTTAAACATGCTCTTTCAGAAAACTTGTAATACAAAAAACAATTGTCTTAATGTAAGTAATTAACTGGAGACATGTCTTGATGATAGCGTTAAGGCCACATTTACACGAGAACGAAACGGCTTGTATCTGCATAGTTTCTCTTGCGTATAGCCCTATTATTTACACGAGGCCGTAACAAACGGACCCCACAAACGATAACGGGTCCCAAGGTGAATAGATTTGCAAACGAAACTCTCTGGGGGGTCAAACGAGTCCGTGTAATCGCCTCTATACGAATATTTCCTGAAAAAATAACGATAGCCCCACCTCTCCCCGCCTCTGCTGCTCACAGCTGTCGCATGGCCAGTAGCTACTGTCAGTAGCTACTGCTAGTGCTACTGCTACTGACCATGCTACAGATGTTAGTACAACATCTACAGCTCCTCTACCACAACCATCAGCAACAAGTGGACATGGAGAATTACATGAACTACTACATGTTGCTAAATCCACCGCGGGGCATAAACAGAAGGGTAGCCATGGCAACATTGCTGCGGGGTCTTCTTCGCTGCTTTTGGTGTATTTTGTGGCGGAAGTTACAGCGCCACTTACAGTCCCGGCATATGTACTACAGCGTTTCCAGCGGTCTCGTTTGAACAGACACGTTAAATGAAACGAATGCATGTGAACGGAATACTTTTTTGAAAGCGCATACTGTGCATAAACGCAAACGTTCCCGTGTAAAAGCAGCCTAAGTTAAAACAATGACCCTATTCACCTGTGTCTCGCCTTAAGTTGCAAACATGCTCATAATGAATAGATGAAAACACACGACACAATCTCATGCTGTAAATGATAAATGAATACAAACTATGGAGATTTCTGCCATATAGAGCTCTGCCTTTTCTCAAACTAATTATACAAACTTATTGGCACTTCACTTGAGGTGCACAAAGCGCCAATACATATAATGATATGCTGTCAAAAAGGTCTTTATAGCTAAGACAGGTACCTCCTCCTCTCAAAACTATTACCAAAACAATCTACGTTGATAAATAGCCGTGTCCCTTTAAGAGGTTCACTCACCTGAGAGCTGTCATCACTTTATTATTATTCTGTCTCTGTACAATTTCAAAAGCCATCCTCAGCATCTATTTGTGAGAGTTTCGCCAAATGTGAGAAGTAGAAAGTACAGGTATTTGTGTTCAACATGTAAGAAGTAGAAAGTACAGGTATTTGTGTTCAACATGTAGGAAGTAAAAGTAAAAAGTCGTCAGAAAAATAAGTAGTGGAGTAAAGTACTGATACCAGAAAAATGCACTTAAGTACACTAACGAAGTATTTGTACTCCACGACTTCCCACCTCTGCTCATATGTCTCCACCCCCTGCTGTGCTAAATGTTTTCTTCTGAAGGAGTGTTGACCTCAGGACTTAGTAGTATCAATGCTGAATATATTTTACATTCAGACAATAATCGACTCAACATGGGTTGGCTAAGTGAACTGCAATTTGGAAAAACCCATCAGGGATTCTTGTCCTCTCCTTGCTCTCTGTCTTCAAGTTTCTCCGCAGCATGTTAGTGTGTTAAAATCATTTCTAACAAAAGCACGGAGAGCATAAGTTGAAGTGAGAACACATTGTTTTACTCCCTGTTGCCGAGCAGTCTGAGCAGTTAGTAATGCGAATCAGAAAGACTTATCTCAGCCCTATTTCAAGTCACTCTGCATTTTTGTCGAGAGTAATAGAAAGTGACAGTTTCCATGCCGAGTTCTGCCTCAGCTCAAAACACATGTTGAAGGAAGAGGAATCCCCGTCCACTGCATGTTACACATTACATGTATCTGGCAATAACAAAGTCAATGGAAAGTAATGGTAGAAATAATTCAATGATAAGTGCGTGTGATTCGTTGACATTTGACAATTCTACATTTCCACATTTCCAGCTGTGCAGGCAGCAGCAGTAGCTTGTGAATTGATTAGATCGGTCTGATAAAAAGGCACGTTGGGCAGTGTCAGTTTTTCAAGATTTCTCTGGCATTTCGCCTGTTTCCCCCCCCCCCCCCCCCCCCCCCCCCCACCTCAGCCCCAGATACAAAGAAACACCACACAGATAATTGCCGTCATTACTTGGGTGCAATGCTAGGACACATTAGTGGGTTATTTCCAAAAGTGACTGCTTTAATGTCAGACATTGTTTAATGGGAGCCATGCCAAGACTCCGTATGGCTGCTTCTCTCGAGGAAAGTGTATTAGGCCTCACCATTCTTTCTAATGAAAGTGGGAAAATGTGACCACTGTTAAAAAAAGGACGAGAAAAAACACTACCTTTCAAACACCAACTGCATTCGAATGCTCTGTTTTCTTTAATCTGATGTGACCATTCATATGCACACAAGAACACAGAGTTGTGAACAGCCACACACACACGTACGCCTACATTTGCACATCGATGATATTCACATTCTAACTTAGAGTAAGTTATGTCCCCCCACACCTTCCTTTTGTCTGGAAGGTGTGGGGGGATGTGCGTGCGTGCGTGCGTGCGGGAGGGCGTGCGGGCGGGCGTGTGGAGATGTTTTCCATCTGCAGGATGAACATAATACATTCAAACCCGTTCATTTCCTATGGCGGTCGATTCTGACTGAAAACATCATGGGTGTTTCACTGTTGAATAAATCACTAAGAAATCAATGCAAGTGATGATTATCAAGTGTATATGTTCAGAGGCCTAGTGTGGAGGATAACATCAGGTCTTGAGGCAATTGGATGAAAAACACAATATTTATGATAAAAAACAAAGTAACTCGGTCTTTTGACCCGAAACGCAAGAGAGGGGTTAAGTAGATTTGTTTGAAAAAGTTGTTTTGTGAACGGATAAGAGAGGAAGATGTCAGAAATAAAGAGCTTCACATACATACTAAAATACTGTACTTTGAGCATGATATTACACTTGATAATTACTTATGAGATCAAATCAAAAATATGCTTTTTTTCAAACATTCCAATCAGAATCTTTCCATTAATTGTTATTCATGTACTAATGCAAACAAGAGTAAGAGACATGGCAGTCATCTAGCAGCAGCCACAGGGTGTCCTCACACTCTTTCCCCTCAATAGGCCTCTGTTCTCACTGTGCATCTCGAATGTGCTCTGAGTTGTCCAAACACTTCTTTACAAGCCGGTCTAACGTTACACTCCTAATGCTTTTCTAATGGCGTCTTGTCCTTAATCCATGAAATCGGTGGAAAAAGTTTAAAGGGGATTTTGTTTCAGGATTTGCATGCCAGCACAAACAGGACATTTCTTTAAAAGTGCACGAGCGAGCATTTATTCTGTTACTAATTTGGGTGCAGAATGACCGTATCAGAGCTTTATTACACAAATGTTTTACCTTCTCATCAATGGTTTTACGTTAAACGATAGTTATGTGGAAGTGGCTTTGTGGGTATTTCCCTCTTCATTAGAGCTCAGGGCTGTCGGTGGTGATGTGTGGTTTCTCTCCAGAGGTGGGAAGTAGTGGAGTACAAATACTTTGTTACTGTACTTAAGTACATTTTTCTGGTATCAGTACTTTACTCCACTACTTATTTTTCTGATGACTTTTTACTTTTACTTCTTACATGTTGAACACAAATACCTGAACTTTCTACTTCTTACATTTCCCAAACAGGCTGGTTCCTTTAGTTTGAATGTGTGTTTGGTGGCGTGATCATTATTATTTAGAGTCATTGCGTGCCTATTGATTTGAACACGATCCGTGTATCAATCATTTCCTGGTCTTCTCTAAAGAAGAGGGACCAATGAAAACGTTGTCATGTTGCCGTTGTTCAGCATGGAAACATTCATTAGCTAACAATGACATTATTGTTCTATTAATATAAAGGGAGGTCAGGTACTCTTTAAAACAGCTGCTAGTTATGGGTACTTTTTACTTAAGTACATTTCAAAGCCCATACTTCTTTACTTTTACCAGAGTAAAGAAGTTTAGTCAGTACTTCTACTTTTACCAGAGTGTTTTTAAACACGAGTATCTGTACTTCTACTTAAGTAAAGGAGGTGTTTACTTTTGCCTTCTCTGTTTCTCTCTCTCTGTTTCTCTCAGCTCTCCGCAGCCGATCGGGGCGATCCATCATTAATGGAAACTGGGCGATCGACCGGCCAGGGAAGTATGAGGGAGCGGGAACCATGTTCACATACCGGCGGCCCAACGAGATCAGAAGCACCGCCGGGGAGTCCTTCCTCGCTGAAGGGCCCACAAACGAGATCCTGGACGTTTATGTAAGTCACAAATTAACTCGGACCTTCAGATATAACAACACTGACTCTCCTTCTCTTATATTTACACTCACAAGCTTACAGTTGGAATGATTTCTATTTAAATGAATGTCATTATCTGTCGCTGATTAAGGTATACAGTAGCAATGCAGTTTAACAAACACGGTTATTGTTGTGACTTTCCCGGGAAATTGGCAAATTGCAATTAGTTAGGGAAGCATTTCCATCATCAAGCAGGTTGGTCTGCCAGAGAGGAGCTAATGCATCAGACCCTCAACTCACTTTGGTCTAATAAACATAGAAAATAAGGATGCCAATGATACTCTGAACTAGTGCAAATCTCCAGTTATGAGAATACATTTGACATTCAGAAGAAGGCGCATTTTCAAAACAATAAAGCTTCCGTCAACGGAGAAAAACTGCCGCCTCTAAGATGATTATTCAACAAGGTTGTTTTGGTCTTTGATTTGTCATTTTTTGATGCTGTATTCATGCTGAATAACACATTTTATAAAGAAACGTTTGATCACATCTCTAACAAACACAGGATTTAGTGGTGCGTTGGCATGATTCTTTCAGATTGTAATTTAGTTGGACCTTGGAAAAGTACGTTTTGTCATTGTTTGATCACTTTTCAGAGCAGATTTCATTTTATAATTGATCTTCTTTGCCTCAGATGATCTTCCAGCAGCCAAACCCTGGTATTCACTATGAGTACACAATCCCTGAGAAACCAGTGGATCCTCAGCCACCCAACCACAGACCAGAAGGTAAATAAGACCCCTGTTTACCCCCTGCTAACTGTTTGATACTAAAGCATTGTCTGACTGCTTGTCTAACTCATGTGTCTGTGTCTTAGGGAACGCTGTGAATGGACAGGGAGGATACGACATTCACAGAAACACTCACCAGGAAAACTACAATCCAGCAGGGGGGGGTCGGGACCCTCCTCGCCTCCCAGATAATCAGGTTCCTGCTGTGCAGCCGCCCAGACGCAGAGACTACAACTGGAAGATATCTGGAACTACAGAGTGCAGCGCCTCCTGTGGGAAAGGTCAGTATTTCCTCTGACTTCTCACACAATCATAACAAAAAACCCAGAGGATGACAACAGTTACGATTTCATAGAAAACACGCAATTTGTATTTATTTTAAAAATGATTAACCTTCACCAAAGTTGTTTGTTGTTCGCTTGATTAAGGAAAAACATCTGGTCAGATTTGAAAGACACTTAGTGCAAGGGTACAGCAAGGTCCAAGGAAGAATCAATAACATTTGAGAGGGCATCCGAATAATGGGATTCCCTTTCATGACATTTGGCTTTTGTGCTGCGTTCAAGTTGTGTCAGAATAATCGGAAACATGCCTTGCCGACTGGGAAATAAAAATTGGAGCCTCCTCTTGAAAACATCTAGTAACTGGATGTTTAAAAGCAATGAAATACAACATGCTTTATTCGTAGTGTGTGTGTTGTTTCCAACTTAAAGCTAGTGAACACACCATAGTTGGAAGAATGGCATCCACCATTGATGGGGTTCTTTGCTCTCCAAGTACTCTTTATTTTCTATAAAAGCAGATGTAGTATTCAGTGATTAAACTATTCAGTGTTTCTGTGTGCATTTCAGGATTCAGATACTCCATCTTCCACTGTGTGTCCCGGCTGAACCAGGGCCAGGTGTCCGAGGCTCTGTGTGACAGCAGCAGCAAACCCTCTCCACAGGAAGAGGCCTGCAACCTGCAGCCCTGCCCCGCATTGTGAGGACACACACTCTGCTCACACACTCTGCTCACACACTCTGCTCACACACTCTGCTCACACACTCTCTTCACACACTCTCCTCACACACTCTGCTCACACACTCTCCTCACACACTCTCCTCACACACTCTCCTACTCTGCTCACACACTCTCTGCTCACACACTCTGCTCACACACTCTCCTCACACACTCTCCTCACACACACTCCTCACACACTCTCCTCACACACTCTCTCCTCACACACTCTCCTCACACATACTCCTCACACACTCTCCTAACACACTCTCCTCACACAAACTCCTAACACACTCTCCCCACACACACTCCTCACACACTCTTCTAACACACTCTCCTAACACACTCTCCTACTCTCCTAACACACTCTCCTACTCTCCTAACACACTCTCCTACTCTCCTAACACACACTACTAACACACTCTCCTCACAAACTCTCCTCACACACTCTCCTCACAAACTCTCCTCACAAACTCTCCTCACACACTCCTAACCAGAGATGGCAAAAGTAAACACCTCCACAGATACTCGTGTTTCAAAATACTCTGGTGAAAGTAGAAGTACTGACTAAACTTCTTAAAGTAAAAGTAAAGAAGTATGGGCTTCGAAATGTACTTCAGTAAAAAGTACCCATAACTCCCAGCTGTTTTAAAGAGTACCTGACCTCCCTTTATATTAATAGAACAATAATGTCATTGTTAGCTAATGAATGTTTCCATGCTGAACAACGGCAACATGACAACGTTTTCATTGGTCACACAAGTAAAACAGGAAACTGACAGACTCTGACTACTAAAACATAACAGACAATAAACAAATCATGACAGAATACTGATACAATCCCTACTCAAAGAGCAAGTTCACTCAAAAGAAAACACACTAACGTTATTTAATAATGGCTCTACATGTCTGCTCGTGTGCTTCCTCCCGAGCAGCTGGGACATTGGGGAGTGGTCAGAGTGCAGTACGACGTGCGGGCTGGGCATGCAGCACCGGCAGGTTTTGTGTCGGCAGATTTACGCCAACCGCACCCTGAACGTTCACACGAGCCGCTGCGAACACTTAGAGCGACCGGAGATCACCAGCAGCTGCCAGCTGAAGATCTGCAGCGAGTGGCAGGTCCGCTCAGAGTGGAGCGCGGTGAGACATGCTTTTACTGACTGTTGTATACCTGTTTACAGATCTATATATATTTATCACTTCTCCTTACGCATACATATTGTTTACATTACAGTTTATTGCAATTGCATCCTATCACTAATATATATTTTTTATTTTATACATGTTATATTTGATCCTTTTTGAGTTCTGCGCTTATTTATATCTTAAAGGTCCCCTGGCCTATTATACTGTTTCTCATCAATATATTACAGGTCTCAGATATATACAGAACATGTCTCTGATTGGCTGATATACCAAACAGATCTTTGCAGCATCCCATAATCCCCTCTGTTTCAGCCCTGTTTCAAAAGTGCTGATTCTCTGTCTGTTACTTCAGATGAAAATAAGGAGCCCCTCCCCACGCCCCTCTGAGAGATATTTGGTTAAAAAGAACTCAATGGTGCTCTAGGAGGAGATTCAGGTGATAAGGTGAGGGGGGGGGTTACCTTGGTTGGTGATTGGCTAATGGTTACACAAGCCAACACATCGTTATGACATCACAAAGTGGCCAAAATCTGATCAGCTCATTTTCAGACAGATTTTTATATAAATGGATCAGGACAAAAAGAGAGAGAATCTTTGTTCCTGAAACTTTCAGAGTCTCTTTACACAGAGGGGACACATGTTGATGTATGAAGGACAGGAAGAAGAGGATTTTACACAATATGTGACCTTTAAAGAAACACAGTTGCATTTAACAAAGAGCAGCAGTCCCATCCCTCCACAGTGCTGACCCTGTGTCCTGTGTCTCTCAGTGCTCGGTGCCCTGTGGTCTGGGTCAGAGGTCACGAGAGGTTCGCTGTGTCAGCAACGTGGGCGACTTTGTTCCTGACGAGGAGTGCAACATGAATCTGAGGCCGGTCGATGTGGAGAACTGCGACATGGGGTCCTGCGCCAAGAGCTGGTTCTACACCGAGTGGGGGAACAGGGTGGGTCTCACTTTGATTCACTTCTCATAACAGTGGCAGTCATTTTATAGATGTGTCTTTATCAGAGATATCAACTAAACCTCTTTACTCAAGTAAAAGTAAAGAGGGGTTTGAAATGTACTTAAGTAAAAAGTACCCATAACTAGCAGCTGTTTTAAAGAGTACCTGACCTCCCTTTATATTAATAGAACAATAATGTCATTGTTAGCTAATGAATGTTTCCATGCTGAACAACGTCAACATGACAACGTTTTCATTGGTCCCTCTTCTTTAGAGAAGACCAGGAAATGATGGATACACGGATCGTGTAAGAAGTAGAAAGTTCAGGTATTTGTGTTAAAAATGTAAGAAGTAAAAGTAAAAAGTCAGAAAAATAAGTAGTGGAGTAAAGTACTGATACCAGAAACATGTACTTAAGTACAGTAACAAAGTATTTGTACTCCACTACTTCCCACCTCTGGTCTTTATGCATCCGAGATCTGTCTTTCAATCAGGATATTATATATATGTTTTTAATATAGATTCTGACATCCACAAAGACAACACATGTAGAGTAATATTCACTGAATAGAGTGCCTTTATCACAAGCGGCAAGTATGAACATACAATAACTATTTGGCTAGAATATAAACATTGTGACATTGATGTAGATGCATGGAAAGACATGTATTCAACATTAAGGAGGTCCAAAATAAATGTTCACATGATAATTTACAGTTACTATTATATGCCATGTTTTGAGAGGGGAAATTAGATGCCAGGATTTATTCTAATCCAAAGTAGATTAAGACATTTGAACTGCAATATTTATCGTTGGAAATCAGGCAAAACTGAAACTCGGTAATTCTGTATATATTGTAATACTGTATTGTATTTCAGTTTTGTCGCTTTTACTCATGTGTGTTACTTACTTCGTGATATACAGAGAACTCTCTGCTCCATAGCTTCTCTTGGATTTACAATCTCACTGTACATTTTACATTTATATATATCCAGTTTAATATTTAATATTCCATCTCTCACATACTTATGTATATATAATAACTTGATTTATTTTTTGTTTTTGTTAATTTGTAAATTCAACATGTATATTTTCTACTTTCTTGTTTATTTCTAGTCTTTTAAATGTGTATTGTAATGCCATGTCTTTTAAGCTGCTGCAACGCAAACATTTCCCAATTTGGGATCAATAATCTTATTTTATCTTATCTTATAACACATGCAAATGTCAGCTGCTCTTACTGAAAAGCTGTCTGAAGGCAGTGTACCTCAACACAAAAACAAAAAAGTGATGTGCTGAAATTGAATTACAAGTTTAAAAAAGTGAAAGATATCAAATCAACCGTATGAATTGTGCTCCACAGTGCTCGGCTGAGTGTGGGATGGGTGTTCGGACGCGAGGAATTCTCTGCCTCACGAACCACGTCAGCGGTCTCCCTCTCGAGGGCTGCGGCAGCGAGAGACCCCAAAACTCTCAGGTCTGCAACAGCGGAGCTTGTGAGAACCGCATCGAGTGGTTCACGGGCCCCTGGAGCCAGGTAGGAGGGAGAGACTCAAGATTTCAAAGATTCAAAGATTTAAAAGGCTTTATTATCATGTACACATTACAGTACAGTGTAGATATGCCAATGAGAATCTGAAGTCCCAGGCTCCACCAACAATGCAACACAGATATATATAAGACATAACATGATGAAGCAATTTGAAAAAACTATGAAAATAGTGCAAGAGGAAACAGAAGAGAAATAGACCAATATGCAAGTAACGGAACGTCCACACAGCAGCGTTAAAAAAATCTTGAAACGCTTCTGCCCATTCACTTTGAATGGGGTGACGTCACTTTCCCTCACTTTTCGCCGAAATGCATTGTGGGCAGGCGAGCGGAGATTTTCAGGATTTTCAGGATTCAAAGTTGAACAATGTTCAACTTTTGAGGCTGAGGTGGAAGCGTCAGCCAATCAAATCCCGTGTATGCAAATCTGACAGTTCAAGCGATAGCCAATCAAACGGCGTGTATGCTGGGAGAGACATACCGCAGGTCATTTCCTCATATTCCAAAAAATGGAGGAGAAATTAGCGGTAGGGAATCAATCACCCGGTGCTTTATGACCAGACCTACCGGGATATAAACCGGAGGAGCCAGGCATGGAGGGAGGTGGCAGAGACAGTGGTAGGTTTTCGCCTGTTTTGGGGAGTTTATATCCAGTTTACTTCGGGCTTTTTTGCTTCGTATGTCGGGGGCGAGAGATTCATGTGATTGGTTGATCGCAAAAAATCCCCAAGCTTCAGATACGCCCACCTCCAAGATTTTTTTAACGCTGCTGTGTAGACGTTCCGTAATGCAGATGAAGTAAACTACATACATGTCCAAATCAATCAATACAATACTTCAGCGTGCATTTGATCTGGGATTCAGCTCCGCATTTACTGTGAGGATTGGTGTGTGTGTGTGTGTGTGTGTGTGTGTGTGTGTGTGTGTGTGTGTGTGTGTGTGTGTGTGTGTGTGTGTGTGTGTGTGTGTGTGTGTGTGTGTGTGTGTGTGTGTGTGTGTGTGTGTGTGTGTGTGTGGTGTGTGTGTGTGGTGTGTGTGTGTGTGTGTGTGTGTGTGTGTGTGTGTGTGTGTGTGTGTGTGTGTGTGTGTGTGTGTGTGTGTGTGTGTGTGTGTGTGTGTGTGTGTGTGTGTGTGTGTGTGTGTGTGTGTGTGTGTGTGTGTGTGTGTGTGTGTGTGTGTGTGTGTGTGTGTGTGTGTGTGTGTGTGTGTGTGTGTGTGTGTGTGTGTGTCAGTGCTCAGCAGAGTGCGGTGCAGGCAGCCATCAGAGGGCCGTGGTGTGTTTGATGAAGTCGGAGGAAGGACTCTCCGTCGTTCCTCCGTACGAGTGCTCTTCTCTGGACCGACCCCTCGGCCAGCAGAGCTGCACCCTGAAGGCCTGCGGAGCAAAGTGGTTCCACACGGACTGGAGCGCTGTGAGTGACATTTGAACCCTCTCCACTTTAATCAAATATACTCCCTACTGCTTCTAATTACTGATTAATGGCCAGGGTTGATGATGTTGGTAGCTACCCTAATCCAGGGGTGTCCAAACTTTTTTCACCGAGGGCCACATACAGAAAAATATACGAAGGGTTTGGCGACTCACTAGAGGTTTATTGCCTCATCAGTTCAGTTATAAGTCAGCAAAATCAATCAAATGTAGGTAAATGATGCTTATGAGTGTTGGCAGCTCATCCCTTAAAACAGAAGCCTCAGATTGATTATAATAAGGAGAAATAGGAAGGGTGTATTTCAAGCTTGTCATGTAAATAAGTCATTGGGCTTTTTTCTTATCAACTCAGATATGTTAGAAAATGTTTCCAACTTGAATTGACTGAATTTATTTGAAAAGTGGGCTTATTTACACATGAATAATACTGTGTAATATATTGTTACATTTATATTTAAGAAGTACAATATAAGACAAGCACAAGTTTCATTTGTGGGCCGTATTCCATTATACTTTTTTAATTTGCTGAGGGCCGATTCAAAATGGTCCGCAGGCCGCATTTGGCCCCCGGGCCGTAGTTTTGACACCCCTGCTCTAGAAAGTAGATTTAACAGTAGACAAACTTCATGGTTTGGTTTTCTGAACCTTTGACTGACTGCTGTCTCTGACCCGTGTTTCTTCCAGTGTTCAAAAACCTGTGAGGGCGGTTTCCGTGTGCGGGAGGTTCGCTGCCTGTCGGACGACTCGCTGCCGAGCGACGCCTGTGATCAGAAACTGAAACCTGGAGGGAGAGAGGACTGCAGCCCGGAGCCCTGCACGCCAAACATAGGTCAGTCCTCTCTCCATCTGAAATATTACTGAGTTTTTAATATGATGTATGCATCTTTGTGTGAGCATGAGGAGAGGAGGAGTTGTATAATGCTACTAGTGAGTGAACTAGAACATCCATAACATTCACCTGTTTGCAACTTACTAATTATTTATCTAATATATCATATTCCAATTACTTGTATATAGACTCTTATTGCACTACTTCTATTCTATTTTATTGAGTTTACTTGCACTATTTTATCTGTTTTATTGTGTTGCTCTGTTGGAGGAGCCTGTGACCTAAGACTTTCATCGTCATGACTACACTGTAGCTTTGTACAAATGACAATAAAAGCTTTGAATCTTGAATTTAAAAATGCCCCTTGAGCAAGGTTTCAAAACCCAAACTGTTAGTTAGTAGAAGTCCGAGCAGCACTGGTTCCTAAGTAAACATATTAATACAGTGTACAATACTCTTCATTTAAACATTTACTTAAGTTTAAGTACAAACATATTAGCATCATAATGTACAAAAACTAAAATGCTCAATCTGCACGGACCATTAGAGAACAATTTATATTATTCAATCATAGGAATGTGAGCGAAGTGCATCCAAATTAAGTAGATAAATAAAATGTATTTAAAAAAAGAGCTGGTTAAGGAGGATCCTTTATTTTTATTTGACAATAACTATAAGTTGTAGCTTGTGATTTTCACCAAAAGCCCAAGAAAGTAAAGCTTAACCCAAAATGAAACATGATAAATAATGTGTTATTTATATTAATAATCTGAATCTTCATATGAATAAAGTCATCAAATCAATGAAGTAAAAAGAACAATGGTTGGAATAGAAGTACAAAGGACCTCAAAGTTGTACTTAAAGTGGACCTATCATGCTATATTTGAATAATATAGTATAGGACCATACCTATATAAGGCATATTTATACTTTTTTTAAATACCAAACAGATCATGCATTTTAGCCATGCCTCATTTTGCTCAATTTGACATTTTTTAGATCTGTTTTAGCAAGGGCTGATTCTGTGAGAACAGCACCATCTACTGGCCTGGCATATGTACTACAGCGTCTCCAGCGCTTTCGAACGGCAATGCCGTGGCTGTCTCCTCCTGATTGGTGGAGTTGGCCCAATAGCCGTAGCGCCACTGTCCTGACGTCAGGACAGTGTTCAAATCTGGATCAGTTTTTATCAGATCCGTTGCAGCCCCTTTTTTAGAGATTTGGGTATGGAGGAAAATAGAGAGGGTTGTGTTTTCTGACACTTGGTGAGTTCCCTGGAACACCGGGGACACATATTCATGTATAAAAGACGTACAAAAGTGCATTTTGCATGATAGGTCCCCTTTAAGTATAGTACTTGAGTTACTATACAGTTCTCTAGACACTGTATGGTTTAATTATTTCATACATCTAATAAAAACAAGCTAATCTTCCCTCTGTTTCCGATGAGAACTGCAGAGATAAGTACTTCAACTGTAACGTGGATAATAGCAAGAAATTATCTTTTTTTATTAAAAGAAAAAAAGTACTTAAAAAATGAATACAGAATTTGAGTAAAAGTAGTCACTTTCCGCCACAGGTCCAGTTCTTTAAATATGGTTTAAATTATTTCATGCAGCTCCCGGGCTTAACAGGTTAAAATATCGGGCCCTTTTTTCAAATGTGTTCAGAAGATAAAGTTCCCAATCATTCCTGATTAAACTTTTGCATTTTGGAGGGGTCCCAACACTGGACGGGTTGTCCAGGGAATAACTCTGTATACATGTTTACCTTTCGCCCTCTGACGCAGATGCTCAACCTTGGGCAGCATGCTATCTCCCTTAAGGAGGGGCTGCCCTGGCATTTTGTTGTTGTTACCAGTTTGTGACCGGGCAACTCTCGGTCAGAGATAGTTATTGTTGTGGGACACCTGGAACACATTCTTCTCGGGGTGTAGATGACCTCGAGCCATAAGCGACAACAAATGTGATCCAGTGTCCTCAGCTGTTTGGTCTATCTATTGAAGAATGTTGATTATTACACTCTGAACTAGTTCAAACCTGGAGCTACAGGAGGGTTCTTCAGAATTGATTGTGGCATCTCAACCGTGTGGTCAACTCGTGGCCCGTGACATGTCTTGTGAATTCTCCGGCCGAAGCTCCAAATAAACCGTCAGTGTTTGCCATCAAAGCTCCAGCTCTCCTCGTGTCTCTCTGAGTCCTGACTCCAATTGCATCAGAAGTTTCCCCCACAGCTGGGAGGAGGTGCTGCCGTACTGACATCTATTGTTTATTATTGACGTTTTTGTTTTAGCTGACTGGTTTTCTATTTATTTATTTGTATATTTGTTGTATGTCTGTTTGTCTTCTGTATGGGATTTGCCCTGGTGTTAAGCAGTATTTACATTGTTACTCTACCTATTTTCTATAAAGTGAGGATTTGTTTACCTACTTTTGATACATGCTCTGATAGAATAACTGTATGCTGTTGAACAAACCCAATACACAATAAAATCTTCTCTCTGTTTCAGATGAGAACTGCAGAGATAAGTACTTCAACTGTAACGTGGTGGTCCAGGCTCGGCTCTGCGTCTACGATTACTACAAAACCTCCTGCTGTGCGTCCTGTTCCCGAGTCGCCCAAAAACAAAAACAGTCCGTCCAGAGACAGTCCGTCCAGAGGAGCCGCAGCTAACCCCCCCCCCCCCCCCCCCCCCCCCCGGACCCTGGCTTCTATGGACGCTTGTTTTGACGGCCAGGGATAGAAACTGAAGACTTTAAGTGGGTTTGTTTGGAGTAGTGATGTTACGTACGCGAACGATCCGATTCTTTTGAACGGCTCTTTGGTACGAACGAAGGGAACCGAGTCGTACTAGGTGTGAGCCGTTCTTTTTATCGTTGGTTCACTGCCTGCCATAAATCCACTCGCCTTCACAGGAACTTGCTTTCCTGAATGCAAATGTTCCAGAGATGATGGCATAGCGCGTGCTGCTTGAGTAGTAGTTTGGCTGGCTGCAGCAAGTTATACATTTTTCTGTGAGTAAAAGTAGATTTCTGGCAATACAGTCAATCATTATCATGGTGATTATTTTGCAGATAAACCGATTAACACCGCCCCCTTAAAAGAAAAACGGCTCTTTTGAACAGCTCTGGGAAAGGAACAGAGCCAATTCCCATCAGTAGTTTGGAGAAAGCTGAAGATAGTGGAGGACAGGAATCCACTCACTGGATAAAGAGGCATCTGGAGACGGGACAGAGACTATCAGCGGACAGAGGAACATACAAGACACCTTTTTAAAATGGATTTTAACCACAAAGACAATCCGTTTGTTTTTGTTTCAAGATATTTGCAGTCCACTTCCACCAATGATGGCTGCTGTGGATTACATGATATGAAGAGGACAGCACCTGTAAACTGTTTAAAGTGGACGATATTGAGAAAGTATATGTTCTGATGTGTTTTTGTACTCTTCAATGGTCAGATTTATGGACTTATGTGACATGAAGTCGATGCGGTTTCACCTTTTTGACACCTTGACCAAAGATTTGTAACCAGAGCTGCAGCTGAAGATTATTTTCATATCGATTAATCTATCAATTGTTTGGTCTATAAAATGTCAGAAAGAGTGAAAAAATGCCCATCCCAGTTTTTAAAAAGTCCAAACCCCAAAGAGATTTACTTTAATAAGATATAAAACATAGAAAACCAGAACATCTTTATATTTGAGAGGCTAAAAAAACATACTTTTCTGCAATTGTTTGCATAAAAAGTAACTAGCGGTTATAAAAAACAGTATTTTTTTTAACAAAGACAGTGACACATTAACTATTTTTCTTGAAAAACAAATGCAGTGCATCCTCCCTGGACCTGATGCAGTTTCCTTTATCCAGAAAATATCTTTGTGGCACAGATTTCTGACGCCTACGAAGAAGCAAACCACTTTCTCCCCCTATACGCCATGAGGTGTAACTGCAGCCTGTTTAATAACCGTGTATATAATGTATGAGTGAATGATAAGGGTCCTCCAGCAACTGAAGAGAAGAAGCCCCTCTTTAGTTATTTATTTGAGTGGTTCCCATGGAGACGAGTGCTTTATCGGCCCACGCTGGCCTCTCATTGGCTGTGGGGATAAAACCTTCCTTGCCTCTCCACCAGGGTTCGAGTTATAAACTGAGCTCTATGGGGGTCTTTAAAACTAACGCACACACACACACACACACACACACACACACACACACACACACACACACACACACACACACACACACACACACACACAGCAGATGCAGGCCTCTACTTGCTACAAACTTAAATATGAAAAGGTTCGACTACGCACACACACATCTCGGCTCGCGCAGCACGCTCACAGGCACAGATTGCGCAATAATGTATTGCAGTGCAGGCATATTGTCATTCAAGAGATGCGTTGTTCTTTTGGAAAACATGTTTTTCTTTTAGCCTATTTACCTTGTTAACGTAAATAATACTCATTACATTGACACATGCATTATTTGTGATTAAAATAATGGTTGTTGGTAATGTATTAGCGACCCCCACAGATGTATGATTTCACTGCATCCGTGGGAGTTCAGACCCCTCCTTATGGGAGCTCAGCTCCCATTGGCTCCCACATAACTCGAACCCTGCTCTCCACCAATCACAGCCTTTGAACTGAATTCAAGCTGCTGGATGGGTGAAGCAGATATTGAAAAACCTAAATATGATTAGACAAATGTTAAAAGTGCATGTATATACATATATTGTCTGTGGGAGATGATCATTCCACACGTCTACGATAGATCACCAATGATAAAAAAAGTATAATAATATTTGATTGTACAGATGACAGTATTTTACAGCTATTGATCTGTGTGGCGAATATGAGGTTTAATCAGTTTCAGACACAATGTGCACACAGTACTTCTCAAGTGTTTCTTTTGTACTATATGTAATCATTTCCCTCCATGCACTATAAACTGACCTCTGATCAGAAGTACTGTATGTGTATCAATGTACAGCATGACTCAAGTATTACAATTAATTCAATCTCTAAAGGTAGAAGATGTGCCAGCATGACGGGATAATTCTGGACTTTCCCCCAAAACAATCAGATTAGATATCTACCAGGATGTTTCAGTATTCAGTAGATAATTAAACTTCTGTATGTGCCTTATTTTACATTTCTAGTGTTCAACAGTTGATCTTCACAAGGATTGCTCTTCTGAAATAAACAAAATACTAATTATGTGTACACTTTACAGCATAGTGGTGTGATTTCTACATTGATGCAGCTTTGCTCAGATGCATATTTAAGACTGTCCCATATCGACAGTTACAGTACTTTTTATATCAGTCATTTCTATTGGAAAGCAGTGCTTAATTTAAAGGATAAATTTCAAGTCATAGAGTTTCTGTTTGTAAATGCTTTGTGTCTACGAGACTGTCATTCTTTATGCTACCACAAGATGGAGCCAGAGTAATAACATTTCAAATGCTACACATACAACATCTAAAACACATATAAAACAGAAAATCAACAGGTACAAGTACTCAGATCTTGTACTTGAGTAAAAGTAGAAGTACTCAGATCTTGTAGTTGAGTACAAGTAGAAGTACTCAGGTCTTGTACTTGAGTACAAGTAGAAGTACTCAGGTCTTGTAGTTGAGTACAAGTAAGGCAAGGCAAGGCAAGGCAAGTTTATTTATATAGCACCTTTCAACACAAGGTAATTCAAAGTGCTTTACAAAAATGGAAGACATTTTAAAAATGGCATTTAAAATCAGTCATTAAAAAGGAAAGATAATAAAATAAACATTAAAAGAAAAAATACATGGATAAAAGTTAAAAGTTACAGTGCAGTTTAAGATGTGAATAGTTCAATTAAAAGCAGCGGCAAAAAGAAAAGTCTTCAGCCTGGATTTAAAAGTAGTAAGAGTTGCAGCGGACCGGCAGGTTTCTGGGAGTTTGTTCCAGATATTCGGAGCATAATAACTGAATGCTGCTTCTCCATGTTTAGTTCTGACTCTGGGGACAGAAAGCTGACCAGTCCCTGAAGACCTGAGGGTTCTGGATGGTTCATAATTTAGCAGTAGGTCAGACATGTATTTTGGGCCTAAACCATTCAAAGCTTTATAAACCAAGTAGAAGTACTCAGGTCTTGTACTTGAGTACAAGTAGAAGTACTCAGGTCTTGTACTTGAGTAAAAGTAGAAGTACTCAGATATTGTACTTCAGTAAAAGTAGAAGTACCAGAGTGTAGGAATACTCTGTTACAGTAAAAGTAGAAAAGTATTATCATCAAAATATAGTCAAAGTAGCGACAGTAAAAGTAGTCATTGTGCAGATTTCAGAATAATATATATGATACGTTTTATAATGATTGATCATGAAAGTGTTCTCAAAGCTGGTAAAGGAGCAGCTAGTTTGAATGACTTTGTATACTGCAGGGTAGCTTGTGAATTTACTCCAGGTGGAACTCAAGTCTGATTTAACACTTGATTAGATTTCACATCATTCATCCACATCTGTAAAGTAACTAAAGGTATTAAATACATGTAGTGGAGTAAAAGTACACCATTTACCTCTGAATTGTAGTGGAGTAGAAGTACAAAGTTGCATAACATTAAAATACTCAAGTAAAGTACAAGTATCTCAAAATTGTACTTAAGAAACTTGAGTAAATGTACTTTACACCACTGGTCATGTGACCTAACAAGTCCAAATCAATGCAGCATTACTAAACTGAACGAGTAAGATACACCTCTTTTTATTTGTTTATTGATTTTAATACACCTTCCTATATTATATAAATATCTTTTTGAAAAAACAAAGATTTCTTTATTGAAAACTATTGATTTTGTTCAATCACTTCCATTTCATGTGACTCCAAATCAACGCAGCATTGAATCACTGACCTGGACGTGTAGGACATTGTCTTTTTAAATTGGATTTTATTTCACCTTCTACTTTTTATAAACATCTTTATGATATTTTTTTGATTAAAAACTATTGATTCTGTTCAAAAGCGTCCACGCTAAAGCATCCTTTTCCATCACATCAAGTATAAGGTATTGTAACTAATGACGTGTTTGACACACTATAGAAAACATTATTTGTACACTTTACAGAATAACTCCTGTCATTCTTTAATTAAGGACAATGGCGTCCAACGTATTTCAGGGGTTACAGTTCAAACCGTATGTGTGTGTTTATAAGACAAGAGGACTCATCTGGTTCACACACAGACTGTGGTCAAATGTACTGATATATATATATATAATAAATGTCATTAAATACGGGAAAAAAACATACAAAATACCATCTTAATAAACAGAAATGCTCCTCTGCACACAGTTGCAAATAAAATGTTTATTCAAATTGATTTCACGGCATTTTGTGAACGGGTACAAAGAGAGAAATATAAGAATAACCATATTAAAAAATTAAGGCAGCACCGAAATGAACACTTTTAATGTATTGTTTGTCCCTTTAAAGTTAGCAGTTTCTGAAAGCTTATAAAAAAAGATACTGCTTAGATTACATTTCATTATTACAACATGCTTATTCTAACGCTTAGTACAAAATCTTGATTGTGTGTCTGTTGCACACGTGAGAAATGAGAGTAATTACTTCATGTTAACTGAAGGATATGCTTGTGTGTTTCTGCAGTAAATCAGGACTTTGCAGCAGGAATCTATTTATTTCGAGGCTCCACTCAGACTTTCTGGCTGCTGACGACGGGGCTGAAGGTTTTTTCGGAGTCGGCCATGAACGCCTCGATCTCCTCCACAGTGCGAGGGACGCACGTCAGCAGCTCGATGCCGTCAGCTGTCACCGCGATGTCGTCCTCGATACGCACCTGAACACACCACGAGACAGAGGTCAGACACACAGAGAGGAGAAGGTCCCCTATTATACTGTTTTTCATCAATATATTACAGGTCTCAGATATATACAGAACATGTCTCTGAAGTGTTTGCCTCCAAACACCAAACAGATCATTGCAGCATCCCATAATCCCCTCTGTTTCAGCCCTGTTTCCAAAGTGCTGATTCTCTGTCTGTTACTTCAGATGAAAATAAGGAGCCCCTCCCCACGCCCCTCAGAGATATTTGGTTAAAAAGAACTCAATGGTGGTCTAGGAGGAGATTCAGGTGATAAGGTGGGGGGGGGGGGGGGGTAACCTTGGTTGGTGATTGGCTAATGGTTACTCAAGCCAAAACATCGTTATGACATCACAAAGTGGCCGAAATCTGATCAGCTAATTTTCAGACAGGTTTTTATATAAATGGATCAGGACAAAAAGAGAGAGAATCTTTTTTCAACCACAATATAAATATGTTTCGGCGCACTGACCCCTCCGAAGCCCCTGAAGCGCTGCAGCACGGCGCCGTTGATGAAGCAGCTCTGTTTCGGGTTGCTTAGCGCCTGATCCAGCAGGTGGTTGATGAAGTAGATGCCCGGCTCCACCGTGAGGACCATCCTCTCCTGCACCAGGCGGCCCATCCGGAGACTCTTCAGCCCGGGCTCGTTCACACGCTCCGTCCCCTGGTAGAGTACAGGAATGCACGTGAATATAATGATCTAACATCAGAGTAAACACATATATCTCTATCTTCTTCAGCATATACACCACTGTGTAATTTGGAACCACTGATTCATTTCTGAGAAACTTCAAGAACATGGTAAAAACATTGTGAACTGATATGTTCGGTTCTTTTGCAATAAATCACGTTGGCCTCTAAATGAGGACATACTCTGATCATTTTCAGGTGTATATCAGTATGTAGTGTCTCTACTTTAAAGAGTCCTCTCCTGCTGATGTTCAGGTGTATATCAGTATGTAGTGCCTCTACTTTAAAGAGTCCTCTCCTGCTGATGTTCAGGTGTATATCAGTATGTAGTGTCTCTACTTTAAAGAGTCCTCTCCTGCTGATGTTCAGGTGTATATCAGTATGTAGTGTCTCTACTTTAAAGAGTCCTCTCCTGCTGATGTTCAGGTGTATATCAGTATGTAGTGTCTCTACTTGAAAGAGTCCTCTCCTGCTGATGTTCAGGTTCATATCAGTATGTCGTGTCTCTACTTTAAAGAGTCCTCTCCTGCTGATGTTCAGGTGTATATCAGTATGTAGTGTCTCTACTTTAAAGAGTCCTCTCCTGCTGATGTTCAGGTGTATATCAGTATGTAGTGTCTCTACTTTAAAGAGTCCTCTCCTGCTGATGTTCAGGTGTATATCAGTATGTAGTGTCTCTACTTTAAAGAGTCCCCTCCTGCTGATGTTCAGGTGTATATCAGTATGTAGTGTCTCTACTTTAAAGAGTCCTCTCCTGCTGATGTTCAGGTGTATATCAGTATGTAGTGTCTCTACTTTAAAGAGTCCTCTCCTGCTGATGTTCAGGTGTATATCAGTATGTAGTGTCTCTACTTTAAAGAGTCCTCTCCTGCTGATGTTCAGGTGTATATCAGTATGTAGTGTCTCTACTTTAAAGAGTCCTCTCCTGTTGATGTTCAGGTGTATATCAGTATGTAGTGTCTCTACTTTAAAGAGTCCTCTCCTGCTGATGTTCAGGTGTATATCAGTATGTAGTGTCTCTACTTTAAAGAGTCCTCTCCTGCTGATGTTCAGGTGTATATCAGTATGTAGTGTCTCTACTTTAAAGAGTCCTCTCCTGCTGATGTTCAGGTGTATATCAGTATGTAGTGTCTCTACTTTAAAGAGTCCTCTCCTGCTGATGTTCAGGTGTATATCAGTATGTAGTGTCTCTACTTTAAAGAGTCCTCTCCTGCTGATGTTCAGGTGTATATCAGTATGTAGTGTCTCTACTTTAAAGAGTCCTCTCCTGCTGATGTTCAGGTGTATATCAGTATGTAGTGTCTCTACTTTAAAGAGTCCTCTCCTGCTGATGTTCAGGTGTATATCAGTATGTAGTGTCTCTACTTTAAAGAGTCCTCTCCTGCTGATGTTCAGGTGTATATCAGTATGTAGTGTCTCTACTTTAAAGAGTCCTCTCCTGCTGATGTTCAGGTGTATATCAGTATGTAGTGTCTCTACTGTGACATGTCTCCATGCTTTAATGTTCAAAAAGCTCTTTATTTTTCTCATACTGCCTGTGCTGCAGCACCTCTTTTCACCCTCTGTCTGAAACCAGAGCCCAGTCTGCTCTGATTGGTTAGCTGGCCGGCTCTGTTGTGATTGGTCAACCTCTAAGAGATGTCCCGCCCCTTAGCCTATGACGTACAATATGTTGGAGCGCTAGCCAATAGAAGCGCAGGTGTTACGTAGTGATGTCACTATGTTATGGAAGTACGTTGAAGAACTGATTCACCAAACATATTGAAAGGGTTTGTTGGGATTGCTTAAAGTAGAGTTGTATGAGGTAGTTGTCACATGTCACAGTAGAGGCACAAAATACAAATAGGAACCTGAAAATGAGCATCATATTCCTCTTTAAGACATCTCCTGGAGATCAGACTGAGACTAGCCAACAGTATATTTTGTCCACAGACTGACTGATATGTACTGTATATTCAGCGCTGCCTGCCGCACACACTGAAAACCTTCTCCTGGAGACCATGTGGGTTAACTGTCTTCTGCTGTCAGCTTTCAGAAGAACAGCTGGACTGAATCTTCCACCACATCCTGAAACTGTCTGTGTTCAGAGTTCAGACAACATTTTAGCCCCCCTCTCCCCCCTCTCTCCTCTCTCTCTCCCCTCTCTCTCCTTCTCTCCCCTCTCCATGAACCTGTTTGGCCTCTTTTTGTCTCACTTCTGCACCGGGGGTCTCTCTAATATTGATGATGACACATCAATAGAGCAGTGGGTTTTCTTCTTCTGTCTGGAGACTGTTGCAACAGTAAGGGTCTGTTGTGTTCAATTGCATTCAGTTTCATTCACCTTATCTATAAACAGTTCAAAACAATACAATTTATAAGACATAGAAGAGATAAAACACGGCACCCTCAAATATAAAAAAATGCTGTGAAATGTGTATTTGCAGTCTTCCTGTTCGGTTTACGGTCTCGCTCCTGTATACTTTTTTTGTCGTGTCTAAGTGTTACATATACCCACACAATCTCATACATTTAGGAAATTCAAGGTTTTCATTTTTCAACACGTTCAGGCCCTCTAATTTGCAAGTCTTTTTCTGAATAATAATTATTATCCCTGTAATTTAAAGAGGGTCCTTCAACCTGACTATATGTCGATTCTCAGACCTCAAATATATTACTTATATGAGACATAACAAGCACATATATCCATCACTTAAAAAACACCAACTCAGAATTAAAGTCTGCTCACCTCAGGGTACCCCCCCACATCGTGCACGTCGATGCCCAGCAGGTGTCCCAGGCCGTGGGGCATGAAGACGGCCCCCAGGTGGACCTCCATCATGGCGTCCACGCTGCCGCTCAGCAGCCCGAGCCTCAGCAGCTCCTCCAGTTGGACGCGGTCCGCCAGGCGGTGCATCTCGGTCCACTTCACTCCTGCAGCACAAACACAATGTTAGTGATGAACAGAAGAGTCCAAGACCCGAACTCTAACACTCTCAGAATGTAGGCATAAGACCAGGTTTACATTTGATTAGCACGTGGGGGTTTGCAAAGAGATATGAAGTTTGGCATTTGTGTTGAGTGTAGGGTTTGATGTGTGCCTTTAAATGTGTTAACTTATGTCCATTTCTTTTTAATTAGACCCCAGGGAGACTAGCTATGGCAATCCTATAATACACTAAACCAAACTTAACTTAACTAAAGTTTACCAAACAAAACTACACTTAAATAGACTAAACTCAACCAAACTAAACTCAACTCAACCTTTAATAAACTTCACTAAACTAAACTACATAAAACATAGCAAAACAAAACTAAAGTAAACTACTTTCACCTTTACTAAACTTAACTACACAAATCATAAAAAAACTAAACTCAACCAAACTAAAGTTGCCCATTTAATGCTTTAAAGGTCACCTATCATGCTATTTTTAGGCAATAGCATAGGTCTCAGATATATAAAAATATATAAAAATACCAAACAGATCACCCAAGCTTTATCCCTCTATTTCACTTCCTGTTTCAAAAGTGCTGATTTGGGGTATAAAGCTTTAAAAAAAAAAAACAATTGATAAAAAAGAGGGGCTGAGCTCATGCGGGAGATTCTACCGGCAGATACTGCCGTGATGAAACGCCATATCATGGATTATCAAGGATTATTTCTGAAACAGTATGGAGCTCAAAGGCTTTCTCTCTTGCCGGTTATACCACAAGGTGAGTTCCTTTTTATTTCCTGCTTCTTCACACACATGCTCTGTGCAGTACAGGTTAGCTCTGAGTGTTAGCGATGCTAATGTAAACACCGACCATATTACGTCCAAAACAGTCGGGCATTGTTTCTGATAGCAACTTTCTGATAGGGCCGTGGGTCTGCATTGCCGATATGACGACATATCAGACGCAAATCTGGATCAGCTCTGTTGTAGCCCCGTTTTTAGAGATTTGGGTACGGAGGAAAAGAGAGATGGTTTTATTTTCTGACGGTGCGTGAGTTCCCTGACACACCGGGAACACATATTTATGTATAAAAGACATCAAAAAGTGCATTTTGATAGGTCCCCTTTAATAGAAAAAGCAGTGAACTCCCTGCTGGTCATATGTTCCCCATTTGTCTTCCCCTACGTCAGTGAAGTGTTCTCCACAGTTAATCTCCATAGTGACTGAGAGATGATGACCTGGTTTGATGGCGGCCATGACGGCTCTGGAGGATTTGAGCACGGCTTCGTAGATGTTCCTCTGGTCCGAGGTGAACCTGCCGTTAGCCGGGAAGGAGCAGGTGATGTCCGAGGAGTAGCAGTAGTACTCTCCACCCATATCAAACAGGCTGTGGGCGACAACACATCAGAGTTGTTCATAAACACTTATGCATAGACTCATTGACTCTATGCATAACATTAATGCGCACAATATCTGTTTTCTTTTTGTATTACTGCCGGATTTTATTCCATTCTATTTTTATGTAAATACTGTTATATTTCACTGTATTTTTTATTATTTTTAATATTTTTTAATGTTACTATAGTTTTCTAAAAATAGTTCTCTATCTGTGTTTTTACATTTTTGACACCAAGTCAAATTCCTCGTACGTGTCAACCTACCTGGTGATAAACCTGTTTCTGATTCTGATCACAACTGTAACATATCAGTACAAATATAGTAAAATATTTGGTAACACTTTATATTAAAGGTGGGGTAGGTCATTTTAGAGAAACCAGCTTGAGTGCGCTAGAATTTGAAAATACACAGCCGGAACAAATCTGCCACTTCCTTACAGAGCCCCTCCTCCAACACACACGGACGCGCACATGACCAATGAGGGCACGAGATAAGTTTGTGCACAGATGGAAGGCTGACAGGCAGGTAGGCCATCCAGTTATTTTAGCCGGGCCGGCTCAGATGATTGGTCGTGCTTTTTACAGTACTACGGCTTCCACAGATGACATTTTTTATGGATTTTTTGTCAAAGCACTTAAAATATTCATTGCTATCGGGATGTTAAGAGCATTCCATGGAATATAACAAAAAGGGTATCTCGAGCCGGTTTCTCAAACTTACCTACCCCACCTTTAAGGTACACATATTCACCATCAACTAGTTGTTAATTAACATGCATATTAGCAGTATATTGGCTCTTTATTAGTCATTATAAAACACTTATTAATGCCTTATTCTACATGACCATATTCTACAACAGGGTGTCCGCGGGGTCTTAAAAAGTATTAAAAGTTGATAAATCAATTTAGCGAAAATTAAGGCTATTCAAAAGTATTAAAAAGTATTAAACTGCATTTTCCAAGGTATTAGATTTTGTAGCTTGTTTTCAATAAGTATATAAATTGTCCAAAGAGGTTGTATTCTACAGTCTGCCTGAATGTAATCATTGTGTAGGTGTGTAGTGTGATTCTGTGTAGTTTATTTATGGCATCCCGTTGGATTTGACGTCATCTGAACAGGACATCGCACGCTCACTGCTTGATAGCGCGAAGGTCCGTTTACGCCGGTTGTTAAGCAACATCGTTATGGGGAAATGCAAGTCTGCGTCCAAATGGTTGGAAGATAAGGAGGAAGGACAATCAATACTGTATGTGAGGTAAAGTGTGTCGCCAATGTAACCGGTTAGAACTCCAAGTGGCGATGAGGTCTTAAAATGTATGGAAAGGGTCTTAAAAAAGGTTTTACATTTGACTTCAGGATTAGAAGTACTAGGTCATTAGTTGAGAGTTTTTCCTCAATAACCCTCTAATTAGTGCTTATTTATTGTAAGTATGGAAGTTGTTGTACATGAGTTTTGGTCTTAATATGCTCTGCTCAATATGGGCCTAATAAGGCAGCAGTACCACAAGAATAGTCATCCTCCCATAATAACACCTAACACATATGATCTATTCTTATGTAACAAGACATGAAACTACAAGTGTTAATTGTGTCAACATAACTTAAAATGTAGTATTTTCTAACTCAGAATATGTTTACTAATAAGCTAGTAGTTTGGCTCTAATATGCATGTTAATTAACAACTAGTTGATGGTGAATATGTGTACCTTAATCTAAAGTGTTACCAAATATTTTTTGTGAATTACGAGCAAGTTCAAGAAAGTTATTGCATCTTAAAAATAAAGTGCTGCAAGTTGCTGCTCACCACATGTCTCCATCCACGATAGTCTTTTCATTGGGAGCTCCCGCGTGGCCGTAGTGCAGGATGGACGAGTTGTTGCCCCTGTTGATAAGAAATAACACAATAAGGGAAGTAAAAACACATATGAGAAGTACAAGGTGGTCATTATTTTAGATGCAACTCATATAAAGTTACCTGAAAACTAATTTAAATGTAATATTATTTTTGCAATTAGAAGTGACACGATATACCGGTATTGATTTAGGTAATATTACACATACAGTACAAGGACATTTTCAAACGGAAATTCAACATTGTGACAGCCTTATTTCAGACCAGAAATAAAGTATTAACAACCTTTACATGTTCATTGGTTTGATTTGACTTTAAAAAAAAACACAGTGACCTTTTAAGAATAACTGGGACTATCAGTTATTTATTTCTCAGCTCTTCATTTGGAAAATATCTTTCATTAACGAACCACTGATCCCCAGGAAGTGCTCATTACACACGGCCTTTAGCACTAAAGGCCAAAGCCTAACGATGAGCAACAGAGTCTCCAAATTCTTCATCTGTAATGTCGCTGCTAGGCGACCGTTACCATGCAACAGACAGGAAGTGGATGGTATGTTTCAGCAGGCTTTGACCAATCAGACACTTACTTTTCTGCTATCTTTGATGAGAGATAAAATGACAAATGATTGGTTTTGGCTAGACTAGTTTGACTGAAATGTTCAATATAATCGGATGGCTAAAAAACACTAAATGTCAACAGTTTTCATTGACAAGAAGTAGACTAAAATAGTTAGTTTTCTTTGACTAAAATAAGACTAAAATGCTTTAGTTGACTAAAACTTGACTAAATAAAAACAGGATGAAGGTGACTAAATATGACTAAAACTAAAAACAGGGTTCATACACTTTTTCACCAATGATTTTCAATGACTTCTCCATGACTTTTACCTAATTTTCCATGACCAAAAACATGACTCTTTCTCAGCGTACCACTGAAAATGGTTTATTTTAACATGGAACAGGAAAATAAGGTCTGCATATGAAACATGTTGTGCCTATCTAAAACAAATCAAATAGGCTTACTAGCTTCTACACGCTAAAGCTACTAAAATCTCTCACCAGCAAAATACCTCGTCAGTTAAATGCCATTTTACGTTTCATTACTATACGATACAGTATGTATTATCATTATAGTATTACTATTTCGGCGATTAGATCAAATATAAATTATATTTGATGCAACTTTAGTTACATTTCCATTACTTTTCCAAAACTTTGGGAAAAATATTGTTTTCCATAACTTTTCCAGGGCCTGGAATTTGCATTTTGAATTTCCATGATTTTTCCAGGTTTTTAATGACCGTAAGAACCCTGTAAAAAGGACATTTAACACAGGACTAAGACTACATAAACAAATAGCTGGAGACGCATCATTTTAGGCTGAATTAGAAACTAAAACAGGTTAAATTAAAGTGACATTTCCTTACGTTCCACAGATGCAGGTGTACGAGGTGTGACGCATCCCTCCCTTGGTGTAGCAGTAGTGCTGGAACAAGCTGCAAAACATAAAGAAGTCAATTTTATTAAAAAATTAATGATTTCAGCACAAAAGAAAAACAAGTTGAACGACTTTTCATTTTTAAGACATTTGAAAGATCAATTCAACACATTTTAAAACCAATTAATGCCGTATTTTTTACACTAATGAGTTAAATGCCTTGTAAACTATGAGGATATATTGAATTTAACACATTTTATTTGTATAGCACACTTTCAAAACAACGTCATTTCAAGGTGCTTCACAATTCGATGAGAAAAAAAAAGTTATCTAAGAACATATTTAATAAAAACATTTAAAAAAACATACAAAACAAGGGAACTGAGTTTAAAAAAAAATGATTAAGATATAAAGAATCTCTGCTTTAAAAGCTTCAGTCAGCAGGTACGTGTGAGGTGTGTGTCTGTGTTGAAATGTGAGTTGTTTCAGGAATTGTCAGTTTCACTTTGACACAGGACACAACTAAGTTCTGTGTTTCTAGACGTAACTTTGACTTGATTATAACCGTACTGCCCGAATAAGTAATCTGTATTTTACCAGCTTTTTTATACTACAGTGATGTTTAGAATACAACATATTTAGGGCTGCAACTGAAAACAAGTCACATTACTTTTGATAGTAAAGGGCTGATTAAATCCCGACATACAGAATATCTCTTCTTGGACCAAATGCACCTCTTACCTCTCCATCTCATATTCCTTCATTCCAGGTTTCACATGCTTCATGATCTGCAGGTGAAAGTCAGAGTACATGTGAATCAGAATAAATATGTTACTGACTCTGGAAATTCATCTCAAAGTTGACCTTATGCACAAAGACAGGATTGCGTGTGACTCCTGACTGACATGACACGTAACACATTGAAAGGTAGAGGAAGAAGGCTTTACTTCACAACTCTAGATCAACAAATTAAGAGTGTTCATTTTAAAATGTTCCTTCATTTCCTCTGGGTACATTATAGGTGTCAATATTTACACCTATTTACCGATATGGATGAAAAATGTTGATTCTGCAATAACGAAACTGAAATGTACTCTTTTTCTTAGTTTTCTTCATATTCCTAATGTTTATTTTAGTCTTATATTATGTTAAAATCTGATTTTGTACCATTTATTTTTATAATTTGCATTAAAAATGAACACATACACATATAACACTTTAATATCTATAGTTATTGATTACTAGCAGTTCAGTTTGTATGCAAAAAAGACATTTTAAGTATGTAAAAAACATGTTTCTAGTGAGCTCTTTTCCCATCCCCTCCGTCTTTGTGTTACATTTTGCAGTCCTCATTTTCAACATGAGCTGAACAAAGTGTGGATTATTCCCTCAAGCAGAGTCTGCAGGATTTACTCAAAGCAGATATAAAGAGTTCAAAGGTCAGAGAGAGAGCCTTGATAAACATTTTCTGTTCCTACTTCGACCCGACAGGGAACACGGTACATGAAAATCTGCCAGAAGACGGGTCTTTTGGGAGAAACGTGACCAAACACACCTCTAAGAACACCTAATGATCTCTCAGGAGAAACACTTTTCTCTGAGTGACTTCAGACGACAGATAACATTCAGAGTTTAACGGCTCGGTCACCCCCGAAGAAGTTATTCATGGTGTTAGAGGTAAATGCTCTGCCGTGGTAAAATATACTTTAATGTTACAGCTTATTGGTCAAAGGCTATCTCTGTGCAGCTGCCGGCCTCCGAGAAGTTAGAATCGATAACATTTGAAAGCGTTTATAGCCTTAAAGGGGCTGACATCTTGATTTCTTTGGGCGAGTGGTAAACTCAATAAGCCTTTCAACACTCTGGCCGTTTAATTTCATGCTCTGGACGTTTCATTTTCTTTCTTTTCAGATTCGAACATTTCGATTTGAGCACCCTCATCTATCTTACCATTTTATGGGCTTCGCTGGAGATCTTGTTGGTGTATCGCAGCACCTCCAGCTCCATGTCAGTCTTAGTGAGACGGCTGAGGACAGAAACAGGAAGTGAGGCTCTTTCATTCTGACCCGTAGACCACCAACGCACCGACACACACTCACAGCATTCAACTGTTACATGGCACTAAAGCAGTGGTTCCCTAATGTTTTCTGCAGAGCCCTCCTTTTGTAAATTAAACCTTTTCTCAGCAGACTACAGCTTACATTGCAACGTAATCGTGCTGTATCGTATCCCATCGTATTAGATAGATGGATAGATAGATAGATAGATAGATAGATAGATAAAATAGCATTAAAAAGTAAAATGTGGAAATATATGTACAGTATCGTACTTTATCGTACTGTACTTTATCGTACTGTATTATATCTTACCGTAACTTATTATATCGTATTGTACTGTACTGTATCATACTGTATCGTACTGTATCGTACTGTATCATATCGTATCGTTGTGTATGTGTACTGTATCGCACTGAATTGTTCTGTACTGTATCGTATTGCATCGTGCTGAATTGTATTGAACTGTATCATATCTGACTGTATTGTACTTAATCGTACTGTATTGTATCATATTGCTTTGTATCGTATTGTATAGAATTGTATCGTATCATAAATGTATCAATAAATTATATTATAAAACAAATCATTTGTCATGTTTGTAGATCTAATTTGATGTGTTTCTTAAAGCAGTAGTTTGATACAGGAGTGTATTAAGGGAGTTTACCAATAATAGAAGTGAATAAATAACACAAGGCGGTGGTAACCAAAGCAACACCAATGGAAGTTTAAAAAAGTCCATTTTAAGAAGAGCCATGTGGGCCAAGAGGTTCAAGGGAGGTGTGACTGAAAAGCATTCCTTCTTATTTCACAAAATGTCAATTCATCTGGAGGGTGCAAACTCTAATGCCGAGGACACGGAGAGAGGCACGGAGTCCATTACATCTGTTCAGACTCTCTCTCTGCGAGGATAAAAACACAAGCCAGAGAAGAAAAGCCCCGTTTCTGATGCAGACACACAATCTTGACCGTACCGCTGAAATTACCCAGAGTTCCTGAGTAACAAGTGGCAAAAATATGTCTGTTTGGGTGATCAAAGGACAGCTGAGAGTTGCACACATATTTTGGAAATGCCAATTAAGTTCTGGGAATCGGTACACAAGGTTTTGCAAAAGATACTGAGATATAAGGTTCCTATGGACTACAGCAGGGGTGTCCAAACTACGGCCCGGGGGCCAAATGCGGCCCGTGGACCATTTTGAATCGGGCCTCAGCAAATTCAAAAAGTATAATGACTAGGAAGTATAATAAACTTCTGCTGCTCTTATATTCTACTTCTTAAATATATATGTTCAAAGATATTACACAGTAGTATTCATGTGTTATTTAATAAGCCCAATTTTCAAATAAATTCAGTCAATTAAAGTTGAAAACATGTTCTAACAAATCTAAGTTGATAAGAAAAAAGCCCAATGACTTATTTACATAATAACCTTGAAATAGACCCTTCATATTTCCTCTTATGATGAGCAATCTGAAGCTTCTGTTTTAAGGAATAAACTGCTAACAAAGTAAATGAAACCCCATGGAGAGCTGTTCTTTTCTCACAGTATTTTTAAGTATCAAGAATCATTTACCTACATTGGATTGATTTTTCCAACTTATAACTGAACTTAAGAGGCAATAAACCTCTAGTGAGTGGCCCGGCCCTTCGAATATTGTTCTATATGTGGCCCTCGGTGAGAAAAGTTTGGACTACATGGTACTCTATCTGGGCAATTTTACAGAGGAAAATGTTCACTACATAGATAGATAGATATCTTGTAAAAATAACGTTGATAGCTGGCAAGAAAGCCATAACTAGGAAATGGTGCAAAGTGGAGCCTCCTACTGTGGAACAGTGGATAGAGATCGTGGAGGGAATTCATATCATCGAAAAACTGACATATCGACTGAGACAGCAAGAAACACAATATGAAGAGAAATGGGAGAAATGGTCAATGTTTAAGATTCAAACCAGCGACAAGGAAGACTGACTGATTGAGTAAGAGGAACTGTTCTGACAAATTGTCAAATGAGAATGTGACTCCCAACTGGATTTCTATTTTCTAGTTGTATTTCATATTATCTCTGTATTTGTATAGTGACGGCCCGATAGTGTGCGTGTGTGTGTTGCAGGTCCTGTGATGGGGTGGAGCTGAGGAGGCCAATCAGCTTAACTGGGGACACCTGGCCGGCGCCCCAGGCTCTACTTAAGCCCAGCTGCCCAGAGTCACGGGGGCATCGCAACTCTCTCCGGGACCGACGAGGGAAACTCTCGCCGGGATCCCTTTCCCCTCGCCCAGCCTCTCATTTTACGTTCAGAGATTGTTCCCAGAACTCACTGCAGTGTCACTTTTTCAGTTGCCACAATAAAATGTGCCGTTACTTTTTCGGAAACCCTTGTACATCTCCATCTGTTTTCGTTGTGGCCTGCGAGCCGGTCGTAACAGTATCTATAGCTGTGTTGCATTGTTTATTTGGTTTGGGTTGTTCTGTACGTGCACAGCTGTTGTTGTAATGTTTTTATATAATAACAATTAAAGTGAGAACAAAAAGGACTCTCTGAAGATGATTATAAAACATATTTTAATTACTCACCATTCCACAATGACCGGGTGCAACAGAGTGTTGTTCACTTGGAAGCTGATGGAAAAAAACAAGAGGAAATTCATATTTATTTTTCATGGATTTTTTATGTTTTTATTTCATTTTATTTTACTCAATTTTATTTGTTTTTTTGCATGTTATTATATTCCTGTAATTGTATTTATCTTTCAGCTCTGTCATTCATGTTTGTTGATCTGTAAATCTGAGATAAATGTGCTTGGTGAGATATGGCTTTAGAAATAAAACTTGTATTGATGAGTTGAGTTAAGTAAGAAGTATTTATTTGAACAATGCACACACACAAGCTCAGAACACATGTGGGGCGAAGCCTGCGAGCTAGTTCAGGCAGTCAACTCGAGCACTTATGCTGCATTCATACATAACGCCACTCTACAACCAACCAAACAGAGTCTCCTTAATATGCCGCTCTATTTAAATCAAATCAAATCAAATCAAGTTTTATTTATATAGCACATTTAAAAGCGATTTTTGGTCGAGCCAAAGTGCTGTACATGTAATAAAAACACATTACTACAATCACAATAAAAGACAATAAATTACAACAGATATATATAAAAAATAAAATAAAATAAAACACAAGGAAAAGTCAGGAGTCGTGCTCCGCTCTAACTAGAAGGCCAGGGAGAAAAAGTGTGTTTTTAGTGTAGATTTAAAAACCCCTAGGGTCTGGGCCGACCTCACATGGAGGGGCAGAGTGTTCCAGAGCCTAGGGCCAGCTGCTGCGAAGGCTCGGTGCCCTCGGGTTTTGAGCCTGGTCTTGGGCACTACCAGCAACAGCTGGTCAGCAGACCTTAAAGCTCTGGCTGGGGTGTAGCGCTGGAGGAGTTCAGCTATATAGGCCGGATATCTGATATCTCTCTCTATGCATTGCTTGCTGCTGCTACTTCCACGTCGCTGCTGCTTGCCTGCCCCACCACCACCCCAGCTTCCAGCCCAGCTTCCACCTGTAGGCTCGGGGGGATAGTTATCTAATCATCACTCGTCGTGCTATGTATATCTGTGGAGTGATGAGGCCCGAGCCAAGACGCCAAACTCAACTATATGCTGCTTCTAATAAACATGTTAAGAAACACGTGAGTTATCTGACTGAAATATAATAAGTGGCTGGGGAGCATTCCAGAGTTAATTTAGTAACACTAGATAAGGACACAAGCATGCAAACAGTCTTGCATCAGCACATGGTATACTACACATTTACTTTTTTATATTGTTATTTTACCTTTCTCCTGATGGACTCTCTATATTAGACCCCCTCACTTCCTAGTTTGTCATAACTCATGCATTCAAAACATCACCACACTTCACTAATACTATATACGTATAATTATTTAATATCATCTTTAGTTAAGTTAATTAATAGCCGGTTACTTATCTTTAAATATCATGTACACTACTCGCCTCCTCACCCTCACCATCACCTCCAAGATATTTATACACTTGCAAATTGAATGCAATTTAAAGTAATGCATGTTAATGATATACTTGCTTTGAACTAAGTATACTTTTCAAAGCGAAAACAGTGTCATGGACGAAGTGAAAACTAAAAGAAGAACACAAACCAGAGCAAATGAAAACGGGTCATCAACTGATAACTAACAAGCAAGAGCAAAACTGTTTGCTTAGTTAAATTATATTTAGAATTAGGTTAAATCAGCATTAATCAGTATGCATGAGCCTGCTGTATCCTTGGTTATAAAAGAAAACAACAACAACCTCCCAAAACAAAGATTCATTATGTAAATGCAAAGTGGCGCCAATTAAACTTACCCACTGATTCCTTCAAAGGAGGCTTCACGGCAGATGCTCCCGCTGTCGGTGTTCTGACCTCGCTGCGTGGAGACAATAACACAAACAAGTGAGGATTCAAATATAAATACAATATATTCAACTGGTTTATATATAATATATATATATATATATATATATATGTATCTGTTCCAGAGGTTTTTAAAGAGTGAAAATGCAAAATTGATGATGTTGAGTACGGTGGCAGTTATCATCAGGAAGAGAGGTCAAATCTAACTGGACCTTTTTACTAAGTACCATCCCAAAAGTAAAATGCTCCCACTGCATATCTGAACAATTGACCATGTGATCAGTCATATGATATTTAAAGAAGTCCCCTATCATGTTCAGGTGTATATCAGTAGTGTCTCTACTTTAAAGAGTCCTCTCCTGCTGATGTTCAGGTGTATATCAGTATGTAGTGTCTCTACTTTAAAGAGTCCTCTCCTGCTGATGTCCAGGTGTATATCAGTATGTAGTGTCTCTACTTTAAAGAGTCCTCTCCTGCTGATGTTCAGGTGTATATCAGTATGTAGTGTCTCTACTTTAAAGAGTCCTCTCCTGCTGATGTTCAGGTGTATATCAGTATGTAGTGTCTCTACTTTAAAGAGTCCTCTCCTGCTGATGTTCAGGTGTATATCAGTATGTAGTGTCTCTACTTTAAAGAGTCCTCTCCTGCTGATGTTCAGGTGTATATCAGTATGTAGTGTCTCTACTTTAAAGAGTCCTCTCCTGCTGATGTTCAGGTGTATATCAGTATGTAGTGTCTCTACTGTGACATGTCTCCAGGCTTTAATGTTCAAAAAGCTCTTTATTTTTCTCATACTGCCTGTGCTGCAGCACCTCTTTTCCCCCTCTGTCTGAAACCAGAGCCCAGTCTGCTCTGATTGGTTAGCTGGCCGGCTCTGTTGTGATTGGTCAACCGATTAGAGATGTCCCACCCCTTAGCCTATCACGTACAATGTGTTGGAGCGCCAGCTAATAGAGTGGTGCAGGGATGACATATTTACCCGGAAGTAAGCTGCTGGTTCCCTCGACTAAAAAGCAATGGGATTTCTCCATAGGATTTTGGAAAATAGCTCGAAATAAGGTCTGTGGAAAACAAACCTGTTTGATAAATGCACGTTTTGTTCGGCCGGATAATCTCCACATGTTGTCTACCCTACTTTTATAATTTTCTAATCATAAATCTAATCGCCAGAAGCAAAATGCTAACGTTATGCTATAGAGGAACTACAGCCGAGTACAGCAGCACAACTTCAACGTCACGCCAACTTAAGATCCATATTCAAAGCATGAGCATGAGTGTTATATCGTGATGTCATTATGTTCAGGAAGTAAACAAACGAGTCCTCTGTAGGGAACAAAGGGATTCTAGCCTTTGCAGAGCATTTACATGCAAAAAAACCTGTATAACACACTACAGGAAAGGGAGAACCACAACCTTCTTGCAAGAATAAACTCCCTAAAAGACTGTCTTGTTCCAAGTATCTTCATTTTAGTATAACGGAAAGGTTTCCTCACCATTTTATTATTATTTGTTAGTTTGTCTCGGTACATTTCCACCACAAAAGGCTGAATAGAACCTATTTAAAGGTCCCCTATTATACTGTTTTTCATCTATATATTATAGGTCTCAGATATATACAAAACATGTCTCTGAAGTGTTTGGCTCCAAACACCAAACAGATCATTGTAGCATCCCATAATCCCCTCTGTTTCAGCCCTGGTTCAAAAGTGCTGATTCTCTGTCTGTTACTTAAAGGGGCCTACACACCAAACTGACACTAAAGAACACGTCCCGACGGAACACGACTGTTGCATCGCCTCACGTCTCTGCATCTTGGCCAACAGTCGCACTGGAACACACCGCAAAGACTTCAGCCGACGGCCAAGAAGCACGTACGAACTGCGCATGCGTGAGTGGCAATAACTCTCCTTACCAGCAGGCGGCGGTCGAGTGTATTCGTCATTCAAAAGAGGCAACAACCGGAAGACAGACTGCGTGATAACCGAGAGAAGAAGAACAGACTGCGTGATATAAACAAACAACAAATAGCGTGTGCGTTCCATTTTCACTCGACAGCGAGAAGCTCATGGGGCTTTCCCGAACCTGTGTCGAGAGCTGGAGTTAAATTAAATCTCAGATTTGCCTTCTTAATACTTTGTTTGGGTCCCTCACTTCCGTTTCGCTTCTCATGCACTGATTCGCTAGCTGAACAGCCAATCAGAGTGATTTATTTGGCCGACGGCCTTTAGCCGACAGCCTCCCGATTCAACATGTTGAATCGGCGGCGTAAAGGGGTCGGCACGGCCGAAAAGACACGACGGGTCGGGACACACCAATCTGAGTAGGGCGACAGAACGCTCATCGACGGCCAGACATCCATCAACGCCGAAATCGGCTTGGTGTGTCAGGACCTTTAGATGAAAATAAGGAGCCACTCCCCACGCCCCTCTGAGAGATATTTGGTTAAAAAGAACACAATGGTGCTCTAGGAGGAGATTCAGGTGATAAGGTGGGGGGGGGGGGGGTTACCTTGGTTGGTGATTGGCTAATGGTTACACAAGCCAACACATCGTTATGACATCATAAAGTGGCCAAAATCTGATCAGCTCATTTTCAGACAGGTTTTTATATAAATGGATCAGGACAAAAAGAGAGAGAATCTTTGTTCCTGAAACTTTCAGAGTCTCTTTACACAGAGGGGACACATGTCGATGTAGAAGAGACATGAACAAGTGGATGTTGCATAATAGGTGACCTTTAAATAAAAGGTTATAAGTTCCTGTAATCCTGTAGTAATGAGTGCACAACAACGTACCAGAGTGAGCAGCAGCGCAGGTCTCAGGTTGGTCAGGACATCAACAATCTGCAGAGAGAGACAGACATTCATTAAAGTTTCAGCAGGAATAAAAGAGCGTCTGCAGAGTAAAGGTCAGACTGCACACTGCGTGCACACTGTTATTACTTCTCCACTAACAGCTAAATGTCAGATAATAGATTCCAGACTCAGTGGTGATATTTAAGCATTGTTATTATTAATGCCACTAAAACTGACTTCCTAAAAGATTCACTGCGGAAAAAGTCATCCCTAACATCTCAATTTAAACTGAAACTGTGAGAGAAATAAATGCGTTGATGCAAAAAAGCCGAGAGAAGATATCATTGTTAGTTAAACTGATTTAATGAGTCAATTATTAACTCATTAATAACCTCAAACTGTTAAAAAAAAGGTTCCCTTAACCATTATATTAGCTTTTTTAATTTCCAAAAATCTCATTACAGACACTTTATATATTCAATTAGACTAAATGTAACTTATAGAGACTTATATTGAGGTTTTATTTACAATTATGGGTATGAGTTTTATTCATATTTCATGCATTACTTAGATTTCTTAAAGTGGACCGATCATGCTATATTTGAATAATATAGTGTAGGACCATACCTATATAAGGCATATTTATACTTTTTTTTTTTCAAAATACCAAACAGATCATGCATTTTAGCCATGCCTCATTTTGCTCAATTTGACATTTTTTAGATCTGTTTTTTTAGAAGGGTTGATTCTGTGAGAACAGCACCATCTACAGGCCTGGCATATGTACTACAGTGTCTCCAGCGCTTTCGAACGGCAATGGCCGTGGCTGTCCCCTCCTGATTGGTGGAGTTGGCCCAATAGCCGTAGCGCCACCGTCCTGACGTCAGGACAGTGTTCAAATCTGGATCAGTTTTTATCAGATCCGTTGCAGCCCCTTTTTTAGAGATTTGGGTATGGAGGAAAATAGAGAGGGTTGTGTTTTCTGACACTTGGTGAGTTCCCTGGAACACCGGGGACACATATTCATGTAGAAAAGACGTACAAAAGTGCATTTTGCATGATAGGTCCCCTTTAAGTATTTTTGCTCAACTTGACAGACAAGCAGGTTTTACTCAAGTTGTTTACAAACAGGTAAACCTAAAAGATTGCAGGATGATTGAGGACTTTTACTGAAAATCTAACAAAAACAATGTGAACACCTTGCTTTTATTTTTTAATTAAAGAGCTTACTCGCAGCCTAACAAGAAGGTTTTGAGAAGACAAACGTGACTCATTGCACATACTTAGAATTATCTAGTCACAGATCCAGAAATATAGGTATCACAAAATGCAAAATCATGAAGGTGAACACCAGCAAGATACTTAAACAAAGATGAAACACACAATCATTGACATGTTCTCCACACACTGCCTCACTCAATCAGGTAAAAGGAGAAATGTTTGCAGAAAAACAACACCTCAAATATTCATGACCTGGTTTTGGTTTAGAACAAGAAATATGGTTGAGTTTTAGATCCTTTTTGTAGGCAGCATTAAAGGTGGGGTAGGTAATTCACTTCAGAAACACTTTTTGTTATATTCCATGATCTTAACATCCCGATAGCAATGAATATATTAAATTCTTTGACAATAAATACATTCAAAAATGTCATCTGTGGAAGCCGTGGCGCTGTAAAAAGCACGACCAATCATCTGAGCCGGCCCGGCTAAAATAACTGGATGGCCTACCTGCCTGTCAGCCTTCCATCTGTGCACAAACTTATCTCGTGCCCTCATTGGTCATGTGCGCGTTCGTGTGTGTTGGAGGAGGGGCTCTGTAAGGAAGTCTGAAGGAAGGGGCAGATTTCTTCGGCTGCGTACTTTCAAATTCTAGCGCACTCAAGCTGGTTTCTCCATTCCTACCTACCCTACCTTTAACACATCTGCCAGCATTAGTTAAAGAAATGCAGAGGCAGATGTTATATGATGTGTTTTTCTAAATATACTGCAGTGTTGAGCTGTTACTGCTTCATGGGAGAAATGTCTGTTTGTTGAAGTGATAATGAGCATGTTAACCTTATGACTAATAAAGAAATCTAACACCTCCGGAAGGTGCCGAGATGTAAAAAATACCTGGAGTATCGTCAGCAGGATGAGTCACAGTGTATATATAGTAAGAAAAGGGTAACATTAAATAGACTTCTGAGTGATGTGTTGCCAGTGAAAGATGTTATTTATAGTCTCATTATAATATTTGGATTTCTCAACATGCACGTCTCCAAAATAGCTGCGGAGCTGTCAAGCCTCCAACTTGAGGCTCATCTGGGAATCTGCTGTCAGCACCCATAAACATTCCTCTCAAAACAGGCAATTATAGAATTAAATTGTCTTCACATCACAATTATGGACAGTCTCAAGAGGAGTGCGTGTTTTAAAAATAGACGAAAGAAAGAGCTGCAGGATTCCAATTCTAAATTCAAAATAAAAGCATCAGAGGATTTTGTTTCTTGATTAGTTTGAACTCAGTGGTTTTACCAAATTAATAATCAGTATGACGCTCATGTGTGAGTCCAAATCTTCTCAGTAAATATCCTTTGACATCATGAAGTGCATCCTCAGTGCTAAAAAGGTAGGCAGTAAAAACGTTCTACTGTAAAAGGCACCAGTAAAAACCAACCATCCGATATATTCACCGGGAAGTTCGGATACAATGATGACCTTTAAAGCCGTCTATGGAGGCAGTAATGTGCAATACTGTAACTTCTCACACACACACACACACACACACACACACACACACACACACACACACACACACACACACACACACACACACACACACACACACACACACACACACACACACACACACACACACACACACACACACACACACACACACACACACACACACACACACAAACACTTACATCACAGACGTATTGCACCTCATCAACAGCATACTTCTCCTTGAAGTGCTCTTTGGGAAAGATCCTGTCAACAGATGCAAAAGAGGAAAGGGAAGAAAGAGACAATTACAATAAATCAAGAAACTCCTGAGTGGAAAGTATTTTTTGCATCAGGGGACAAAAAAAGATTTGCGGTTTATAGATAAGGGAAGAGTCAAAATGCAAGGTCAGGAGTCCTCGGGTTATTTCCACATCATTATGTTCCTTCACTCGCTTTCACATTAAGAGAAAAGGGAACCTGGGATTGTCTTCCAGGCAGAACGTTTGTACATTTCTTTTAAAACAGTCTTTAACTTTTATTATGTAAAAAACAGGTGGGAATTTATTGTAGATCAGACTTAAAAAAAGGGATCAGTTGGATTAGTTTATTCTGACTTGCCTTTCAGGGCTTCCGTAATTCTTACAGATGTGTGGTGTATGGACACAATTAAGAAATGTAGAAATGTTATTCTGGCAAAAACCCTTTTTTTTAACCTGTTCTTATTTCATAAAACCAGAAAACCATTCAAATCAGACTTAGAAAATCGATCACTGCAAGTATTGTTTCTGACTTGCTGTTTAGGACTTCTACTTCTTACAGATGTGTGGTGTGTTGACTACATTAAGGAAGATTGTCATGGCAAAACTGTTTTTTTACATGTACGAATGTCATAAAACCAGTAATCATTTTAGATCGGACTTAGAAAATGGATGGAAGTCATAAATGTTATTCTGGCAAAAACCCTTTTTTTCACCTGTTCTTAAGTCATGAACAGGCTAGAAACTCTATTAAGATCAGACTTAGAAAATGGATCACTAGGATTGATTTATTCTGATTTGCCTTCAGGGCTTCCATATTACTGACAGATGTGTAGTGTGTGGACTACATTAAGGAAGTCAGATATTATCCTGGCAAACCCTTTTTTTCACGTGTTCTTACAGTATGTCATAAAACCAGAAACAATAGAGTGCCACAGTGACGCGTCCTAAAACCCGGAAGTAAACTCCTTCCGGTTCCTTTGACAAAAACGCAAGGCAATTTCTCCATAGGATTTTGGAAAATAGCTTGAAATAAGGTCTGTGGTTGACACACATTTAAGAGACAGATCACGTTCTGTTCAGCCGGATAATATCCACATGTCTACCCTACTTTTATAATTTTCTATTCATAAATCTAATCGATAGATATATGATCGATAGATTTATGATTTGAAAATGTTTTTTGTCGAAGGAACCGGAAGTGGTAACATGCTAACTTGCTTCCGGGTCTTAGGACGCGTCACTGTGGCACTCTATGTAGATCAGACTCAGAAAGTGGATCACTATCACTGGATCACTTTGTCTGATTTGCCTCTCAGGGCTTCTGTACTTTTAACACGTGTTTTGTTTAGGATAGACTTCAGTGGGCTTTGGCATCAGTTTTGCAAAACATGCCATGCAAAGAAGATTGTGTTGGTGATGAAAATCGCCTGGTGGATTTTACAATGAATATAAAAGCATGTTTATACCGGGTGTAAAACATGTGTCTGTGTAGCACATGACTTTGTCAACTTTACTTCCAGATACAGCCCACAGCCATGGTCACTGTCGGCCATGTGCAGCGCTCTTTGAAGATTAGTGTGACTCACTCTCCCATCCAAGTGGCGTAGCTCTCAGGCAGTTTGGGAACAAAAAGGATGGATTTCCCAGAGTCCACATCAATGGCTCCAAAACAGTCAGGCTCGGTTACTCCAAAAGCCCAGTGGAAGAAAGACTCCTGCAGAGAGGAGAGAATCAGCCAGAGCTTTAGAGAGCCAGATTATAATGGAGTCAGCTAGAAGAGAAACCTTTCCTCTGGTCACATTCTTACATCACAAAGAAATAATATAATGTCTGTTTTTAGACCAGTTCACGGAGAGCTCAACAACAAAACACCACTTTTAATGAGTCTTTGATTTTAGGTTCAAAACCAATTATAGTGTTGGAGCAATTAGATCAGGAAGTGATTTCTCTGCAGAGAGGCTGGCCTACATATCTCTGACAGAGTGGAGAGATGAATACGACAAGAGAAACTAAGAAGTGGATTTTCTTTTAGGAGGAGACAGGTGAGGTTTTTGTGGCATCGTAAAAGAATAGCTTAAGGGATTGGGGACAACAAATGCAATGCTAGCTGGTGGATGATTAATAACTAGATGGATGGATTTTCAGTTAAACTGTGGTCCAATGAGTCAACTGTAAACTGCACAAATAACCTGTAGAAATTAAGTTGCATCAATCATCTAAGTCGCTGTACATCTGAATGTTTTATTCCAATTTTGTTTGAAAATGGTAGATTGTTGAGTTCCATGTACATTTCAAGCATGAGATTCAAGATGTGTTCTTGGGTGCAGTAGTCAAAAACTAAACCTGACTGAGGAACATGTTTTTATCAAGTGGTTTACAGACAGATGAACTTTAAGGATCGTGAAGCAAAGATGACTTATCTGAATTATAACAAAAACAACCTGAACACTGGGTTTTCTTTTAAATTACAGAGGTTACTTTCAGCTGACCAAGATGGAATTCAATGGGCAAATGTGACTTAACCTTTTCTTGAAATATCGTCACAGATTTCTTTGATTAAAGACCTTATTTGTAACATAACAAAAGTCTTACTTACAGCCAAAACATAGGGTTTCTTTAGGGAATGAGCCCAACCAATTATACGCTGGTTTTGAGATCATTTATAAAGAGATGTATGGATAAAAAACAAGGCAACAATGCCCCCTTCTCAGCCTCAGTTCTGCACATTTTCCCCCCAGAGACCCCCTACCTGTCTGAAGAGCAGGTCGGTGTCGGTGCAGAACCTCTGTTTCTGCTCCCCCCCCTGCAGCACCACCACAGACCGAGGCAAGACGCCATCTTTGTTCTTCAGTCCGCTGCACAGACGCCGGCGGTTCTCTGCGAACAGAGCAGCCGAAACCCTGAGGGTCTCGTTCCCCAGCCAGTACACGGCTCTGAGAGGAGGGGAGACACCAAGCAGAAGCAGAGTCAAGTTTATTGCCAGGTACGTTCAGAGATGGCAAAAGTTCACACATCCTTTACTCAAGTAGAAGTACAGATACTCGTGTTTAAAAATACTCTGGTAAAAGTAGAAGTACTGACTAAACTTCTTTACTCAAGTAAAAGTAAAGAAGTATGGACTTCGTAATGTACTTCAGTAAAAAGTACCCATAACTAGCAGCTGTTTTACAGAGTACCTGACCTCCCTTTATATTAACAGAACAATAATGTCATTGTTAGCTAATGAATGTTTCCATGCTGAACAACGGCAACATGACAACGTTTTCATTGGTCCCTCTTCTTTAGAGAAGACCAGGAAATGATGGATACACGGATCGTGTTCAAATCAATAGGCACGCAATGACTCTAAATAATAATGATCACGCCACCAAACACACATTCAAACTAAAGGAACCAGCCTGTTTGGGAAATGTAAGAAGTAGAAAGTACAGGTATTTGTGTTCAACATGTAAGAAGTCAAAGTAAAAAGTCGTCAGAAAATAAGTAGTGGAGTAAAGTACTGATACCAGAAAAATGTACTTAAGTACAGTAACGAAGTATTTGTACTCCACTACTTCCCACCTCTGGGTACGTTACACATAAAAGGAATTAGCTTTGGTGTCTGTGCGAGACAGGACTCTCAGCTGAAGGACTCTGAGACACTTGGGATTAACATGTTAGAAGTGGCTCAAACCTAAAATAACATCACTTTTATTCAACTAGTCTCTGATAGTGTCGTGTTCCTATCAGTTCAATAATTGGACCTCTATGAAAACAGATAATAGCCAAATTCAGGAACATATTTTTTTCATCTACTGAACAAAGAGAGACGATGCATTATTTGTTTTCTTCTCTTTAGAATTATTTAGGGGGTGGGAAATTAAAACGGATTAATGTAAAAGTAAAAAATATTTTCCTCAAAGATTCTGAATTGAAACACAACTTTGAAAATGCTAGACAAAGATATGCAAATTAAATATTGATTGATTTGCAAGCATTATTGTGCATTTTGTAAGAAAAACAATCACACACAATATCAGTTTTACAGTTACTTTGTAGACAATTTACTTTAACAAGTTTCTTTTAAGAAATTAAAAAGGCAGCAAGTTCAAGCCAACAATTGTATTAATTTTTCAGTCAGTGAGAATTGAGAAATAACTTTTTAGTAGAGAGTGCTTATTTGTGCAAATCTAGCATGAATAAAGGTTTTTGTCTTAGGTTTGCCTTTGTGTGTTTACATTATCCCAATCAATTGATATACCTTGTGAAAATACAGACTTTATTAATGCAATCATTTGCCACACTGTATTAGCAAGAAGTGGACGACAGTATCACATGAAATATCAGCCTTATGTACTTGTGCAGAATTGATGTTGAATCTGTAATTGCTTTTACTAGATATCCCACATGAATTGAAAGATATCAGAGGATTCACATCCCTCCAGGTAATCCTCAGGGTTTAGTGAGTGAACCTGAGCTTCAGCACAAGTTCAGATCCAGATATAAACAGAGACACATCCTTGTAACTGATACGTGTTGGTTATAAATCTGTGGCTTTGCTGATAAGATAACAAACATATCTGATCAAGCATGGACTCAAAGGTTAATCCATAACCTCATCGTTTTTTACGGCTCCAGGGTTTCTGTATCATGCTCCTCTGGCTGAGTGAACAGGTGTATCAGCGACAGTGAGGTGGGAAATGAGGTTTTTACTGGAGGAGGCAGAGATGTACTAAACTGCAATACAAACACCATGCAGGGCAATTGACCGGGGATACAATAACATGTGAAAAACAACTTTAATGTTCCTGCAGGTTCTTAATATTCTGCATGTTTGTCGTGCATTGAACTTATCGTAAGTCTCTTTGAATAACAGCGTCAAATTAGTGTAATATATGCGTTTCGTTTTTTTGGTTTGTGTCAGTAAGTTGGGTATGAAACTATGTTTTTTAGAGAGTCATATTGCACAACTTTACATAGTTTGATAAGGTGCGCCTGATGTTTGTTCCAACATATCAGATAGTACCTTATGACTGCTGATTGCTGACAACATTATGATGATACAGCAGATTCTCGTACGGTTTTATCCGATTATTACAACCTGGGCTGTGTCACGAAAACAAGACCATTTAAAATGAATAAGAAAAACCTCAGTAAACTCTCAGTTTCACACAATTGCAAAGCTCTCGAAACACGGATCTACATTTTGACAGAAAAATCTAACATGAAGTCACTTTCTTTATATTTGAAGGCACTGGCTTTCATATACTTTTCTATTAAATAATTGTTAAATCACGGTTTAGGAGCTTTAAAAATAGGCAATAAGCACTTGGTAGTTCCTCAACTGTGACTTTTTTTCCATATTTTATTTAAGTAATGTTGATTTTCAGTGCAAAATGCAATCCTTAGAGTTAGAAATGCATATGATGGAACAATGTGGTAATACATACATATCAGTGTGCAGTCTGGTCAATATGGACTTAATTTTAACATTACCTCTGACAAAATCAAACCCAACCTGTATCATTAAAAAGTAGAAATACATATATACATGTGTACCGTTACATATTCTGGATATTCATTATTGTACACTTTTGAATGAAACGTTTAATTTAGCAAAAAGTGTATTTGTTTTCCTACTTCTGTGTGCATTGCTGTATGATATGTGTGTAGCCTTGTTTTCAAAGTCTTGCTGAGTAATCGTAAAAGAAACTGTAATATTAGACAATATCGCGAGATAGCGTAATAACATATTTATATCTAAACACATCTTCATGACTGGAAAAGCTAACACTTCCCTGTTCAATATCTGACCCTAAAATCAACTCATGTTCAGAGTTTTCTGTCAGAAATAAGAGCTGGACTCACTGTGCTGCTGCAGACATGTTGATGTTCTGGTCACACTGTCACGTGCCAACAGCAATCACGTGACTTTTACTCGGAGCTCATCCGCTGAAGTGACGCTTTGCTGCGTTCAGGTCTGTAGGAAATACCAGCTTCAGCAGCGAGGAAGCACCGTGAGGATGTTTTGATGTTGTTTTTCAGACTTCGACTGTTGTTTATAAAGTGCTGAAGTCAATAAGAGAAGAACACTATCAAATAAATGACTATATTTTTGCCAAAAAGTATTAAAACGGTGTTACAGTATACAATACAACAGGGTGGGAGCAGCAAGTACACACAGAAATGCAGAACTATAAAAGAAAAGCCAATTGTAAAATGTTTGTCTTTTATCCCCACATTATTTGATTTTTAAGTAAGCTACCCTTTTAGCTTTTTAATTATTGGCAAGATTGCAGTCCTTTGTTAAAGTCCACTGCATAAGTTATTGCTAAACGATTTAAAAAATATATATTACATAACATATTATTTGTTAGACGCTTTTATCCAAAGCGACTTACATACTCAATACTGTGGGCAATCCCCACAGGAGCAATTTGGGGTGAAGTGTCTTGCCTAGGGACACAACGACATGCTGACTGCAGTGGGGTTTGAACCTGTGACCCCCTGATCCGAACACCTACGCACAACCCACTGCGCCACACGCCTCCATATATGTTGCTAAATTAACCATTTAATACCAGTTTATTGTGGATCTTTTAATAGAAAAGGGCTCTAATATACACATATTCTCACCATTCAAGCTGGATATACAGTTAAACATGAAGTATTTCTCATATATAATAGCACTACATGTGACCTTAGAGTCACACATGAGATACTTTCAGTTCCCTTTCTTTATCATGTGCCGAGGAAGTGAAATTATAAACCCACACTAAAACAATGAGAACATGTTATGTAAACTTAAAGGGACGCACAATGTGTTTTACATGGATTAGCATCAGATGCTGTTAATTTATTATCAAATCAAATCAAGGTTTATTTATAAAGCACATTTAAAAGCGATTTTTGGTCGGGCCAAAGTGCTGTACATGTAATAACTACAATCACATAAAAACACATTTCTATAATCACAATAAAAGACAATCAATTACAACAGATATTTAAAAAAAAAAAAAACACAGGGAAAAGTCAGGAGTCGTGCTCCGCTCTGACTAAAAGGCCAGGGAGAAGAAGTGTGTTTTAAGAGTAGATTTAAAAACCCCTAGGGTCTGGGCCGACCTCACATGGAGGGGCAGAGTGTTCCAGAGCCTAGGGCCAGCTGCTGCGAAGGCTTGGTGCCCTCGGGTTTTGAGCCTGGTCTTGGGCACTATCAGCAACAGCTGGTCAGCAGACCTTAAAGCTCTGGCTGGGGTGTAGCGCTGGAGGAGTTCAGCTATATAGGCCGGAGCCAGCCCATTTAGTGCTTTAAAAACAAATAAAAGGAGTTTAAAATCAATTCGGAACCGAATTGGAAGCCAGTGCAGTGAGGCCAGAATTGGGGTGAGATGGTCACGCTTTTTGTGAATTATGTATTCATAACTATTTTTCAGGTGCTTAGTCAGTGAGTTCCTTTAACAGGAAGGTTTATTTATTACCAGTGTTCACAATTTAGGACTGGACTACGGAAGGAGCAGGTCTTCTTAATATATCCAGTTTCTCAGGGTTGGGAAACCGACCAAACACATAAAGCATTTTTCAATTTGGCCGTGAAACATGAGACAACATAACGTGGCTACATGCCAAGAAAATACTGTACTCTCAGTTATATAACCCACATTCCTGAAAGTAGGCCAGAGAAATGAAGGAGATTGTTTTCCTTATACTAAAACCTGTATATTCCTAAAGCTAAAAATAAATCCAAATCTACTAGTACTGTCTCTTTTCATTTGATTTGGCAACAGTACTTTTACAGTAAAGACAGTAGGGGGAGATGCAGCTCTCCTCTGTCACAATGCAGGGAGAGTCTGAGAAATAAATTATTATTATGAGTGACTTGCAGATACACGATGCAGGTAACATCTGTGTAATAAAAGACATCACAGACATATATGACAGACTGTCAAGAGGGTTGGTATACCTACAATAAAATATGAGCATCTTGTGATGAAAGATGTACAGTATCAAGACATGTTGACAAATACCTGTTCTCTTGCAGAAATTGTGTAGTTTTCTAACACTATAATCAACTCATATAGGTAGCAACTTTACCACAATTACTTTTTGAAAAACATCCATTCTGAAATGTCATCCTCAAAAATGCAAATGAGGCATTATTATAGGACCCAATTGCACGACCCAGGAGACAGAGGTAAAGTATTAGTAAGATATGAACAGGAAAAGCACAATCTAATCTCTAGATGAGGTGACAAAAATGAATACAAAAGAAAATCGCTCACGTCTCGTTATCAATGAGAGCAAAGGCATTCACTGGAGAGATCTGTCTGAGGCATAAGACAAGATGAACTGACGAAGAACACATGGGAGACTGGGGAATTCAAACACAGGTGGGAAAAATCAGGGGCGGGGCTGTTGCTGATGAGCACGGGAGACACACAAAAGGTAGATGATCAGGGAGCCTGGAATGACAGGTAAATGGTGAGTGACAAAACAACACAGGAAGTGGAAGACAATACAACCATAAAACAATAAAATGAGACTCTCTCAACATTTCTGTCGGTGCACAACAGAGTATTGTCCACAGCCATAAAGAAAGTCCACTTTTGACTTGTTTTTAAGATGTCCTATAAATCAGGAGATGAATGATGTATCAGCAAACCTTTTAAAATATAGATAGAAATGAAATTGGGAAGTTTTGTGTCTGTAAGTGCGACTAAAAAGGATATTTCTGGCCCATAGTATGATGATAATAATTTGCATGATAAACAGCTTTAAAGTTGACCAAAGTGCTGTACATCAATACATATATAAAAAAGCAGCATAAATACATTCAGACAAAACCGATAGGACAAAAAGAAACTAATGTAAAAGAGACAATAAAACCATACTTATAGCCACAGACTGAAAACCCTCATACATGATGTAAAACTATTTTAAAACACAACAAAATAGAAAGCCCAATTTAGAAAACACAGACTGATACGTCTTATACGTGGTCTGATAACAAAAACGGGAGAACAAGTAGGTCTTTAAACGAGATTTAAAAACAAGTTGATTACATACTTGGGGCGCACCAAACTGCGCCCAAAGCAGCTGTTGCTACCGCCAACAACTAGGGGGCAGCAGGAGCGCCAGAGTGAGTGATTGAAGTTTCAATGAGAGAGAGTTAGACGTAGACGGAGGGAGTTTCTCAATGTCGAGGAAGGCTGCTCCAGAGCCACTATTTCAAGGATGCTGCGTCATCGAGTCCCGCCGAAGGACTGTTCCAATGTCCAGGATGCTTGGAATTCTACCGAGGCCGGGCGTCTTTCGTTGCGGGACATTTCGAGGCTGCGCATGTGTAGACTCCGCGGTCTTAAAATCCCCACAATGCTTTGCGCACGGACCAATTTCCAAATCTTTGGCGGAAATCGCGCTCCATTTAAGGCGGGGCCTCGCATATGACGCACACCTGCACACCTGTTAGCCTGTTCCACAATTCTTCGTTTTCCGAGGCTAGGAAGGATTCTTGCATCGCTTCTGAAGGACCTGACTCGGGGGGGCTTGTCCTACCAAGGAAGCGTCCTCGACATTGAGAAACACCCGGAGTGTAAACAAAACTAGATAGCGAATATGGAGAAGGAAAATGATGTTTAATCACTTAAAGAAACACCCTTTGAGAGGACCTGATCAGCCTGAGATAGGCAGGAGTTAAGGACAGAGGAAGGCAGTATACTTGCTCTTTTTCAAGCAGCTGGTTTAGCAAGAAGGCTAACTACCTGTAGCAACACCAGGGCTATATTTGGCTTCCCCTGCCTCCCTTTTCAAACGTCAGGACCAGACCAGTCTATGGACCAGACCCAGCATGGATCCAGTCAGATGTGAGTGGCTTAAAGCACATATCAGAAAAAAGTAAAAAGCATGAACAAACTAGAGTCCACATGGATGATGCTATGCGACTAGCCATGTTTAGGAAAGTAAACACAGCTGTCCAATGAGGGCTACAGGATAGGGATCAGTAAGCATAAGGAGGTTTACAAAAACAGGCACTCAAATAATAGACTGTATCAAATGCTGTGTGCCTTTGAGCTAGCCCTGCGTTGTAATATAACATAGGTTTTGAGTTTTTGTATAAGTTTGCTTACATTTTGGTAGAGCCTCCCCCTGGAGAAAAATGCAACAGCCGCCACTGGTGTAAAGTGGATGGTGTTAATCAGATTTCAAGTCAAAGTCAACTTTATTGTCAATCTTCCGGTTTGTGTGTACAGACAGAGAGATCGAAATACCGTTTCCCACAATCCCAAATACAAAAACAAATATATTTAAAAATATGTATGCAAATATGTATATATCTAGGCTATATATATGTACACAATTTATGACTTGGATCACCTGAAAAACAAATAAAAAAGCTAGCAAATAGAAAACACAGACAGAGACCCCTAGTGGAGTGGAGGGGGTCGTAACAAAACTGAAATGTTTCTTCTTTGTGACAAGTTTTCTGAAATTGCCATTTTAAATATGCAAATTATGTTTTGTTATGCTAGGTTTTTTATGAATGTCTGATGAATCTACAGACTCAAACTATAACAAGTTAGTAGAATAAACACTAGGTGGAATATTTGAGAAACTATATACTGAGTACTTCTGACTGGAAGATAAAGTTCTCAATGAGTATAACATATTTACATATGTCCTTGGTTCCTGTCTAAACTCTTTTAAAGTGTGCATTCATTATTTTGACTTCATGTTTTGCTGAAAAATGACTTACTTAGATTTCCAGACATTATTAATAAGACTCCCAGCCTTTCCATCGCCCTCAGTGCCAGCGCGGTTTCAGTTAAATGAGGACATCGCTCTCAGTAAGATTTTGCCTAATTTGAACCCGAGGCAGATTTACCCAGCAGTCATTATGTGCATATATTGGCCGCTTTTGAAAAGGCTATAGTACAATCCAATTACAGACATCCTCTTTTTTCTTGCAGAATACAAT